GTGTAGCCAGCTCCGCTACCAAGTCGAAAACAAGCTGGTAAGCTTAGGTATGTAGTCCGCCTTAGGCGCTCCCATATCCCAGGCTTTGGCTCATATCGCATGAGCAAGAGAGCGAGACGAAGCATGGGATCTGGAGTAAAGAGTAGGATGGGCATCGTCAATGGAAAAGGGATTTTCCGATCTCTGATGCAAGTAGTGCGCCTCGGTGAGGCACAGTCACATATTAGGCCGGGCCCGGCTTGAGCCAGGCACGGCAGCGGTACATGCTCGATTTATATCTCGCCTTTAACCTTCTCCGTTTAAAGTCAAGGTGCCATCTGAGCTCGTTCAAACTGGGGTCCAAGACGCTGAGGAGAGCTCCGACACAACCAATATGGCCTCAAGACTACCCAAATGGTCTCCAAGACGGTTCCCAGAGGACCCCCACGAATGCCCCAAGAGGCAAAACCCGTCCTATTGCTGTGTGGAACCCTATCTGTTGTTTAGCATGTTCGCCTAATCGGTTTCAATAGCATCCAAGACTGCTCAAAAGGCCTCTAAGATCGCTCCAATACGGCCCAAGAAGCTCCCAAAAAGGGCCCCGAAACGGCCCAAGATGGACCCAAGATGAACTGACATCTCGAGCCCTCCTTCCTAGGACCCCCGATACCTCCAGCATGCGCCCAAAAAGGAAGCGGCCTCCAAGGGGCCCAAAAGAGGCCCCTAAATGGTCCTCAAGAGGCGGGAGTCGGCAGAATGGCGTAAGCCTCTCAAATTCGTCGGCCAACAGGCTCGCCCCAAAAGGGCCCCAAGAACGCTCTAAGAGAAGCCCCAGAAGGGGGAACACGGAACAACACTTCGAGCACTCGGCCCTAAGAAGCCCCCAGGAGGCGCCAAGAGGCCCCTTTGAAGCCCCATGAGGCCCCCAAAAGGCTCTCGAGATAGCCCCCAGACGCCCCACGAAGCTTTCAAGAGCACTCCCAAGAGGGCCCCAAGAGGCAAAATTCATTGTTTTTTTGTTTAGGTTTGGGGGAGGTTTTGGCGTCTCCACCTTTTCTGCATCGCGACGCCCCAAGACGGCCCAAGAGGCCCCCAAGATCGCCGTAAGAGGCCCGAGAAGCCTCCGACAGGGCCGCAAGACGGCCCAAGAGGGTTCCAAGACGGCCCAAGAGGCCTCCAACACAGCCCAAGAGGGCTTCAAGAACACTCTAAGAGAAGCCCCAGAGGGGGAACACGAAACAACATTTCGAGCCCTCGACCCTCAGAAGCCCCCAGGAGGCGCCAAGAGGCCCCTTTGAAACCCCATGAGGCCCCCAAAAGACCCTCGAGATAGCCCCCAGACGCCCCACAAGGCTTTCAAGAGCACTCCCAAGAGGGCCCCGAGAGGCAAAATTCATTGTTTTTTTCCTTAGGTTTGGGGGAGATTTTGGCAAATCGCCAGCGAAGGCACAATACGGGCCGGCGGAATGCTGCCCACCAGGCTGAAGGGCGGGTGAGACTGATCTGTGAGAACTTCTTACAAGGCTTTAGCCCCTCCTTAAAATCCCCCCAAGGGCCTCCGCCATTCCAACGCCCAACTGCGGCATCAACCCTTTTTCGGCTCATGACGGCTTGCAGACGGCGTCCATAACGTTATCTGAGCCCGTTTCTGAGCCTCAAGAATTCGATCCCTGGGCATTCCAGAGCGCCCCTTGGGCCCAACTGTGCCTACAAACTCGGCAATTCGAAGATATAGCAGCGCCATGTGATTTCTTTGTGATGTTAATCTCGGCGGGGGTCGCCCAGATGCGTCTAACGGCTAACTTTCGGGCTCGTCCAAGGAATTTCTCCACGTGTAGATTCCGACTACGTTTTAGGGCTCGCTACGGGGTCAATTTTGGGCGACGCTGGGCCCAACTTGGGGCCCACAACGACGCCCAAACTGGCCCCGAACCCGCCCTGTTTTTGATGGTACTCGGACGGGGTCGCGGCCCTATGCGGAAGTGCTCTGGCGTGGGCCGTCCAGCAAACTCCCCCCGGGCCGCCTCGTGCCCTTCCAAACCCCTTTTTGGGTCCTTCTCGGGGCCCTCTGTCCATGGCTGGTCTCGGGCAGCGTTCCGGCCATCTCTGGCCTCCAACTGTGGATAAGGGATCCGGGATCCAGAGAGCCAGCGCCCCTACCACTGATCCTTTGGAAACGATGGTAGGCCGACGACTAAACGACGAATTCAACATCGATCGGGCGCACGGCACACCTGAGTCCAGTCTGCGATGGGATGGAGATCTTGAGAGCGCAGAGAAGAAAGAAAACAAACACGTGGGGGAGTCTCTCAATCCGCCGATCCGGCGTGTGAGTTTCAAGGAGTCTCAGCTACAGCCTCGAGGCTGAGCTTCAGCCTCTGGGGGGGTCGCCGGGGTGGCTCTGCCGGGGAAGGGGGGGTGGGGTGGGGGGGGGGGGGTGCGAGTTTCCGGCGAACCCCGGGGCCGCTCCGGGGGAGTGGAAGATAGGGGGGGGGGGGGCGCCATGCTCCGCTTTTTCCGGCGCTTTGGAGGAGGGGGGGGGCCCAAGAGACCCCCAAGGGGTTCCAAGAGGGCCCCGAGTCGCCGAAAAATCGCTCCAAGACGCCCGAGATGGCCTCCAGACGGCCCAAGGTGTCTCCAAGACGCCCCAAGAAGCTTCCAAGAGGCCTCCCAAGAGGGCCCCAAGAGGCCAGAATCGTTGATTTTCATTGGTTTTCTCAGGGTTTTTAGCGTTCTTGCCTTTTCGGGCGTCCGACGCTCGAAGACGGCCCAAGAGGCCCCCAAGTCCGTCCCAAGACGGCCCACGATGCTTCCAACACGGCCCAAGAGAGCCCCAAGACGGCCCAAGAGGGCCCCAAGACGGCCCAAGAGGGCCTCTGGACAGCCCAAGAAGGCCCCAAGAGAGCCCCAAGAGGGGCCCAAGAGGGGGACCACGAACCGAAAGAACCGAGCTTTCCGCCCCAAGAGGCCCCCAGGAGGCCCCAAGAGACCCCCAAGGGGCCCCAAGAAGCCCACAAGAGGCCCAAAAGAGGTTCCAAGAGGCCCCAAAACAGCTCCCCAGAGGCCTCCAGACTGCCTCCGGCAGGCCCCCGGTTTCTTCCGCGGCACCGCCCAGGGCGCCACCGGCAGGATGTCCTCCGTCTCATCGTTTTCCTTCAAGTTATCGCCTCTTCCTCATTCTCCTCCTCCTCCTCTGCGACCTCACTCCTATCCCTCAACGATCGCGTCACCGAGTGCCTCTTCTTTGAAACATCCTCGCTCTTCAAACGCACATCCATACACACATGCATACATACCTACATTTAAACACATTTGCATACATAGAAAAACAATCTTCCAGACATACATACTTACATTCACACACATACACACATATTATCATACACACATACAAACATACATACAAACTAAATACATACATACGCGCACAAGCATACATACATACATACGTACCTACACACAGGCACACATGATCAATGCATGCATACATGCATGCACGCGTACATACACACACATATATCGTGAAACTCACCGCGTGCTCGAAACTTGAGAGAGACCGCGGGAAGTCGAGAGAAGCCGCGGAACGAGGCCTCTACTACTACTACCACTACTACCACAACCACTACTACTACTACTACTACCACTACTACTACTACTACTACTACTACTACTGCTACTACTACTACTACTACTACTACTACTACTAATACTACTACTAGTACTACAGGAGCGTTTCCCAACTAGTATGTGTGTGTGGGTGATGCTGTGTGCGCATGTCTGCGGCGCAGGTTAAGTGGTGTGACTGTGTGTGTGCGTTTGAGTGTGCGCCCATAATTTCTGCGTCTGGAGAATAACCCCGAGCGACCCGGATCGGCGGCACTGGCCGAAGGCCACTACAATATTTCTGAATCGGGTCACCCAGTCTTGGCGCCGTTTGCGTCTCTTCGGTCGGTAGATAAAAAGCGTTTTGAAAAACTACTTCATGATCCGTTTAAGTACGCGGAAAATAAGCTAGTAGCTCGCCTGGCCAACCTGAACAGCAGCGGATGCAAGCAGAAGCCGAAACCGATACAAAAAATAGAAACTCACCCTTGGGGAGACAAAAACTGCACCAATACTGCTGCTCACTGGACCTCTCCCGGGGTGCGCTCTGACCGAACCTTCGAGGAGAACCCAACTGCGGCGACGAGGGCTCTCCAGGACGAGCAGCGATACAGGTCTCGGACTGCTCCAGTTGGAGAGGGGAAGGAGGAGGAAGAGGGGAAGGAGGAGGAGGACGAAGAGGAGGAGGAAGAGGAGAATACGGCACTGCCAAGGGAAGCGTCGCGCGGTGCACGAACGCCCTCCTGAGGCGCCAAGCTGCTAGCAGCCTGGCTTGCCTGCGGGAAAGCTGGGGCCCCACCTAAGGATCTCGGGTACCAGCTGCACAGACAGAGATAGCAGTGACAAGGCCGAAGGTGCCGACGCGGGGTGCACACAGGATGGTACACCTCTCTCGCGTCGCGGCCTAAGCGAAGGCACGCAGGCAAGCGTCAGCCCAGAGCTCCAGACAGGTACGCGGCATCACCTGGGACAGTGCTATGCGCTATCCTCCAGGCTGTGCCCCCCTCAACGCGAGGGGAGCCCACCGTGGCCACTCCCTGGGAGCAGAGGTGTGCGGCGTCACCTGGGACATCACAGCTCGTGCTATCCTCCAGGCCGTGCCTCCCACAAAACGCAGGAGGACCACCGAAGCCACTCCCTCTAGATTCCTGCCCGTGGACCAGGTGTGCGGCATCACCTGGGACGGCGCAGCTCGCGCCATCCGCCAGGCTGCGCCCCCCTCCAGGCGAGGGGAGCCCACCGAAGCCACTCCCTGGTCGCTGGGGCCAAAGGTCACGACGAAGCGAGCACCTGACGTCATCTGGGGCAGTGCCTAGGCATCCTGTCCCAGGCGGCCCAGCACTCGTCGGCGCATCGTCGTCCGCCTTACTAGGCTTAGGGCGGCAGAGAATATCCAGCAGGCCTTCAGCGCACAACGCCCACTTGTACGCCATGTCACTGAAGAGGTCGTCGCCGCTTGTGGTCTCTGCCGCCGCACCATGAGCGAGAGCGGTTCTATAGGCCTCGACGTGGGAGGCAGCACCGCCGCTGAGTACCTTGAGACCCTCTCGCGCCAATTGGCCCAGCCTTGAATACGCGCCCTCGAGGTCCGACGAGCGGGCGAAGAGCACCATTCCACGGCCGAGCACGAAAGAGACGCCCGCGAGGCCCAGGGACTCGACGAGGGACGGCATCTCGAACAATGTATTGAGGCCCAACCTTGAAGACGCGCCCAGGAGGTCCAGGGAGTGGCCGAGGAACGCCATGCCAAGGTCGCGGGCCAAAAACTCGCCCACGCGGCCCAATAACTGGGCGAGGAGGAGCGCCATCAGGAGGTCCATGAACGGCGTCGACACGAGCACCACGACCATATTATGGGCACACTTCGTCGCATCGATGAACGGCCTGAGAATCATCAGCTGCACCTCCAAGAGGAAAGACATCACGGACTCCGTCACGCACTTCACGGCGATGGTCCTCGAGAAAGCCACGGCGTGGGACAGCAGCAGCACGGCCAGCGTGAGTAACACCCCCACGACCCGTAGCAACGCCACTGCCCGACAAGCGCGATGCAAAGCCGTCGGAGCCGTCAGTGTCAAGCGAGGCGAGAGGACCAGCAGGGTAGTATACAGCAGCCTGGCTACGAAGGGGCGTGCGCACCGTGGCGGCGGTGCGGATCCGTTGCGCAGCCAAGTTGGCCCTTGCGGCCGCGGAGAGGCTGGTGAGCGTCTCCAGCGCGCCCATGCGTGGAGCCCTGTCCACAGCTGGCGTGTCTGGGCCCCGTGGCTGCAGCAGGGCGACGATGGCGCCAGCCGCTGCCTGCGCATAGCGCGCCGCCGTGCACCGCGCCCTGGCACGGCGACGGGCAGCTCGGGACAGCGAGGCCGCACGGGAAGGCGGCACGTGCGCTGTCAACATGAAACGCATCAGCAGCTCCAGGCGAGGCCAGGGGCATCCGCGGACGCGCCAGGGGGGAGGCCTGGCGCTGGGGGCATTGGCACGGCGGGCGCCCGCCGCGGGGCAAAACAGCTGCGGTGCCCGCGCCAAACCACCTAGGAGGAGAAGGAGGAGGAGGAGGAGGAGGAGGAGGAGGAGGAGGAGGAGGAGGAGGAGGAGGAGGAGGAGGAGGAGGAGGAGAGGACCCCCTCCAACTTCTGGTGGCGGTGGTGGAAAACGGGCCCATCAGACTTCCCTTCGCGGCGAGACCCACCCGCCCCCGCGAGCACCTCCCGCGCCGTGGAGGTGCGCCAGGCCGGCCAGCAGCTGAGGCGCCCAGGCCGCGGCCTGGGTGCAGCACGGCGCCCCGCGCCCGGACAGCGCCTCGGCGACGGCGGCCCGGAGCGTGCGGCCGTCGAGGCACGGCGTGACGAGGAAGCAGTAGCCCCCTCGAGGGCGGGGCACATAGGACAGCGTCAGGGAGCGACGCCTTCAAGGATTGGCGTGGTCGTGTGCTGTCCTCCGGCCTCGGGCTGCCCCCCAGCAGCTGCGCCTCGCCGCAGGCGTTCCGGGCCTCCCCGATCGCCCCAGCCGCAGGAGGACTGGGCGATGCCCAAAAAACCAGAAGGGCAGCGTTTGTTGGGGTTGGCTGGGAGGCATCGACATGGAATTGGCGATGCATCGCAGATAGGTCGGCGACAGGCCCCCGCCAGCTAGTTCGCACGTTCCCAGGCAAAGTGAGCCATCGGGCCCCCATCGGCCTTGAGTGGGCGACTGGGGGTCGATGCGTCACCCCCTGGGCGTAACCTTGGCAAGGAATTGTCGACCCCCCTCTATCCGTAGCAAAACAATAAGTTCCGGGGGAAGGATACCGCCGAACGACACCGGTAGTATTCAAAATAATGAATGAATTTCCCGGGGGTGGCAGCGAATTTCAAGGAATCTCCAGGGATTCATCAGGGATCCTGCCAGGATCCTCAGGCATCCTGCAGGAATGATTTCGGAGTCCTCCAGAAACCTCTGGAATCGACAGGGACGCGCAGCAACGCACAGGAATCCGTCAATAATCTTGGGGAAACCTCAGGAGTCCCTACGGATCCTCGAAGAGTCGGAAGCAAATGTCACAAGACATCCTCAGGAATTCTTCGGGGACCCAGCAAGAATCTTCTAGACTCTTCAGAAATATGAAGAAATCCTCTGGTATCCTACAAAAACCCGGCGGGCCCCCAGGAATCCTTCTGGCACGGCCAAAGATCCTACAGCAACAGACAGGAATCCAGACGACCCCCCAAAAAATCCAATCGTTAGCACCGGAAGAAATTAATCAACTACTGGGGAGGAGCAAGGGCTTCTCAAGAATGTGGGGAATCTTCAAGGGATCCCCACGAATCCACAGGAAGCATTCAGAGACCCGAGAGAATCTTCAAGAAAATTTCGAGCATCGGCAACAATTCCTCGGGAACCTGTCATTCATCATTCGGCGTTCAACAGAAGCCTTCAAGAACCCGCAGCAGTAATCTTCAGGAGTGCTCAAGGGCCCCCACGGATCCTGTAGGAACCGCCAGATATCCTTCAAGTATTTGGAGAAACCCAACAGGAATCCGCCAGGAATCCTCAGGAAACCATTCAGGCATCCCGCAAGTACCTTCAAGAATCCGTCACGAAGCGGCAGGTGTCCTCAGAACCCTTGCAAGGATCATTCTGCACTCCCCAAGAATCTCAGGGGTCCACAGCAAGAATCCGCATGAATCCTCAGAGGTCCTTAGGAACCCTCAGAAAACTGAACCGGAACAGATCCTTCAATAACTTGCAGAATAATAACATTAATCTGACAGGAATCTTCAGAATACCTTCCGGCATCCTGTCGCGATCGTTAAGAACCCTTCAGGAATAAATCCGGATCCCCACGCTTTTATGATTCACTCTGCAACCCTCCAGAGTCCTTATGATCCCGCAACAAATTCTGCAAGAACCGCCAGAAAACCTGCAATCATCTTCGAACGTCCGCTAGAATCACCTAGGAGACCCCAGGTATCCGTCAAGGGCCATGAAAAACCCTGAATAATTCACGGGCGCCTTACGTAGACCTCAGAAGTACCCCAGGAAACCTGCGAGGATCTCCAGGGAAGACTTCGGGAGTCCGTGCCCGTAGGAATCTGCATGGATCTCCCCAAGATCATCCTGAAATCCTCAACGCAACGTGGCGGCGCAGGTGACGTTTCCGCAAAATTCTCCTCCCTGTCCCCCTTTCTTCCCCGGACTAGCTACGGATATGCCTTTTCGCTGGGCCACCTAAACCCCCAATGTATTACAGAGGGAGGAAGAGAAGAAAAGGCCCACGGGGAGGAGCACAGAAGAGAAGCGAAAGGAGGGGGGAGGAGGAGGAGGAGGAGGAGGAGGAGGAGGAGGAGGAGGATCCAGAGGCCCCCCCCCGGCCGCGATGGCTGACTCCGTCTCTCCGCGGCCGCGGCCGCCCCGCGCAGGCCGCGGCCGCCCTGCGCGCGGGCCGCGGCGCGAGTGGGCCGCGCCCCTGGGGGCCGCCCAACTCTCCACGCGCGTCTTGCGGAGGCGCGTGGAGCCTTGGGGCCGAGCGTGCCCTCTGCGTTGGGCACGGTCCGCCCCCGAGATCCTCGGCGCCCCGTGCAGCGCCCCCAGCGCGCAAGTGCTAGGCACCCTGCGCGGCATGCCTTCCAGGGAAGGTGGCAGTCGCAGAATTGACCCATCCAGTCCCGCTGCGCGTTGTGCTGGTCGCAATGGTGCTGCTGTCGACGTGCTGGTCGCAGTGGTGCTGCTGCCGAGGGTGCTGCGCGTCGTACTGATCGACGGCGTGCTGCTGCTCTCCGTCACGCAGCTGGCTAGTAGCCGCTCCGAAGAGTCGTAGCACCCATCTCCTCCTCTCCTCGTCGCTCTCCACTGCTGGCGTTGGGGCTGGCTGTGGCGTTGGAGTCTCGTCGGAGCTCCCGTCGACACTGCGCCCGGCAGCGGCTTCGTCTTGTTGGGTTGGCTTCCGCTCGTCGGAATCGTCGGTCGCGCCGCGCGCGGCCACGCTCGCATGGCGGTTGCGCGGTTCACGCGAGCGCGGGTTTCCCACCGCGCGTCATGCTCATCACTGGGCGCTCGATCGACACAGCGCATGCCAGCACAACCCATTAGTATGCGCCTGAGGAGCCTCAGGGTTGCCCCCGACGCGGCCACGCGCGCGCGCCTGGCACTGCCAGAGACCAACGCCTGCGACTTTGCGGCGTCGCCCTGCTGCCGTGTCTAAGCCACCGCGGGGCCCGTGCCGCGGGGGGCGACCGCGGCGGCCACGGCTGCGCCGCCACCGCCCCTGGGAAATCGCCTGCCCCGTCGCTGGCGGGGGCGGGGCCTGGCCCAGCGCCGCTGCGCGCGATGGGGTTCCAGGGCCAGCGCCGCCGCGGATGCCATCGGGGCAGCGAGCCCGACATCCTCGGACCTGGCCCGGCGGGCCAGCCGCGGGGAGACGCGCCGCGGCTGCCGCCCCAGCCAGTCGGTCTGCCATGGCGTTGCCGCACCTGTCCTCCTCAGAGACGCCGCCCCCCTCCGCTGCCCGCGCGTCAAGGGGGGCCCTTGGCCCGCCTCGCGACGGCGAAGCCCGACGGGGAGAACGGCGCCAGCAGTGCCCACAAATCGCTGTGCGACCAGTTTCTCGGCAAGGCTCGATTCGGGAGGGCCGCCACTCAATTTCGCACGCGCTGCCGATCGGCGACGATCTCCGCAGGGGCGCTGGCCAGGCTGACAGCGCGCAGCGCCGCTGTCAACTCGGCCCGCCGCGCCGTTTGCGACCCGTCGATTGGTCCGGAGTGCTCCGCCAAGGGCGCCCAAAGCACTTCCAGCCGCGAGCCCCAGCCAGTGCGCGCCAGCAGCGGGTCGGCCGAACATTCGCAGGCCCCGCCCGTCCAAGCGCGGCGGCGCCGCGGCGCGTCTGGGGGCAGCGCGGGCGCGGGCGGCGCGGGCGCCGGCGGCGCCGCCGAGGCGCGGCCGCCAGCGCAGCCAGCCGAGAGCCGAGACCGCGGCCGCCAGTGCAGCCAGCCGAGAGCCTTGTGGGAGGACGCCAGAGATAGCCACCCCAGCTGGGGGGCGCGCCAGGAGGGCAACGGAGGCGCGCCCCGGAAAGCAACGCGGAGTTCTGGACCTCGGCCCGCAGCAAGCAGTGCGAGCATCGCGCCGGCACGCATGTAAGTCCGCGCGCCGGGAAGCAAAAGTGCGCGGGCCTCGCGCCGTTCCCAGGCCGCGAGTAGAATGCCGCGCGTGTCTCGACGCTCGGCACCGCTGGGGCAGCCAGAACGCCGCGCCAGCCCCCCACGTCGGAGCCGAGCTGCGCGCGGCGGCCGGGAGGCGCCAATGCGCGCGCAGGCGCGGGGCGGCCAGCCACCAGAGAGGCGCCAGCGCAGCCGCGCCCGCTGGGTCAAGGCGCCAACTCGAGATGATCATGCCGAAAAACACCTATACGCGGCCGCGCAGAGGCCCCCGCGACAGACGGCGTACCAGACGGCAGCACGGAGGCCAGCGAATTCGCGCGCGGTACGCCGCCCAACGGCGGCACCCATCAAGCGGCGCTGCCAGGGGGTCACGGGCAGACTGCTGATGCGGGCGAGCTGGCCAGCCGCGTCCAGGACCAGGGCAGGCGCGACCTCGCTGCGACACCGGCGCCCGGCGACTGCGCTGCCAGCCATCGCCTGACAGCGGCCGTGTTCCAGAACACGCGCTTTTTCCCTGTGTAAGCCGCAATTCCATGGCCTGCTCGACACCGGAAGTTTCGCGCATGCCACTCGAATCGCCTCCACCGCCTAGGCGGCCTCGTGCGCGGGACGCCGCGCGAAAACAACGGTGAAGTCGCCCACGTATATCAAGCTCCACAGGCTGTCGTCGACCGCGCCAGCGCGGCGGCACCACAGCAGCGTCACCACGCTGAGGAGGAAGACGGCCAGCGCGCAGCCAGGCAAGATGCCGATGTTAAGACCCCCGAGCTGCCACTGGCGCGGCCGACCCTGATCTGCCTGCTCGCCGAATGCGCGTGCACGGCGGGCCCGGTCCATGGCGGCGCTCCCGCACGACTGAGCAGGCGGGCAGGGGGGCGAGGTGGGCATGGTCGTACGCTGTCCGCCCGTCGAGCGCCGTGCCAGCAATGCTCTCGCCGAGGGGGTCAGCGGCCTCGCGCGCCAGCGCCAACTCCCCAGCGAGCTCTTCGGCATCGCGCTCGACCTCCTCTCCGGCCCACTGGAGGCGCCACCGCGCGAAGAGGCGGGCACGGCCTGCGGCCCACAGCCGCTGCAAGGTCGGCAGCAGCCACATGGGCCGCCTGTCCAGCGCCCCTCCCTGCCCGCTGGGCTTCGGGAGGAGCAGCCCTTCGGCCTCGGCGAGCTCGCGGGGCTGTCGGCCGAGCGCCTCCACCTTCTCGAAGAGTGAGGCGATCCACCCATAGCACATGCAGTTCGCTCACGGTCCACTCGCCGAGGCCGCATTCTTGCGTTGCGGCATCTCGCGCAAGAGCGAACCCACGAGCTCCGCAGTCCATGGGGCGCGGTCGGGGGAGGCCGGAAGACCGTCCAGCAACTGAAGCCACTCCTCGCCGAGGGGCGGAGCCGCGTCCCTGTGCCTTCACTCCGGGGGCCCTCGAAGAAACGCAGCGGCGTAGCACAGCCCCCACGTAAAGCCAGTCACGAGGTCTTGCCGCGCGGAGCCAGGCGGCCGTCGCCGATTGGGGTGGTCGCAGGGTCAGCGACGAGCTTGGCGTGGCGGCATCCGCCGCCCCCACTCCAATGGTAAAGACGACCCTGGCTGCTGGCTGATCCTGCACCCAGTAACGCCACTCCTCCCGGCGGTGGCGACGCGCGTTCGCGCGGGCCTCCGCCCAAGCGGTCTCCGCGCGCTGCAGCCGGCTCGTCCGCCCGCAGCTTTGCTAGCGCCGAAGCCCAGGCAGCGCAGCCGCAGGCAGCCTCACGGAGCGCCGCCAACGCGTACTCTGCGACAGAACGCGCGGCACGGCTGTCAGCGCGCCGTTGGGCGCGCAGGAACCCACGAAGACGTCGCAGCCGCCCCGCCCCCGCCGCCCGCAGGGGGGCGGTCTGTCTGCCACGAGGCCGCCGAATGTGGCTGGGTCCCCTGGAAGCTCCAACCAAGCGGACAACGAGGTCCGCAACGCCAAATGGAGCACGTGCCTGCGTCCACCTGGTGGTGCTCTAAGGCACGATGGAAGGCAGCGCCGTGCGATGACTGGACGACTGCGTTAACGGCCCGCACATCTCCTGGGTTCCATTCGGCCGCAGCGGCGCACGAGAGGGGCGGCACAGGCCAGCGAATGAGCGCCTCCTCCTGCGCGGCTGTGCAGAACGCAGCGCCGCGTGGGTGACAAATCCAAAGTTTCATCGTTACCAGCCTGGAACATATCCCTATCCCTAAGCTGGGCATCGCCTCATCACGATGCCAATCTTAGGGATTCCCTTAGTTTTTCAGGGCGCATCCCTAAGATTGTCATCGCCTTTGGCCGTGTCAATCTTAGGGATAGGTATAAGTTCGAGGCTGGTGACATCGGAGACCAACGCGCTCCACCAGGCTCAACGCCACAGAGTTCGCGAGCACGTAGTCGATGCGAGTAGGCTCACCCTGGGATGGCACGTGTGAGGTGCCGCACGCGGCCCACAAGTACCGCCAACCAGCCATGCCGAAGAGCCCCTCGAGCCCCGTGTCGGGAAGGCTGCAGCCGAACCCGCCGGCCAGGAGTGCAGAGGCGCCCCCAGCCCAGGCCGCGCAGCCGCTCCATGCCTTTTCAGAACGAGGTCAGCGTGGCGCTCAAGGTCGCTCTGGCCACCAGCGTAGCCGCCCCTGGGACCCACCCCCCCGACGTAATGATGTTCTCGTTACGTCGACCCTCAGAGGTCCCCACACCTTCCCCATGACCGGCTTTGCATCCCGAGTTGTTTTCTGACGCCCCCGAGGCCCGGTAAGGGCCCCCAGAGGCCGAAAATGAAGAAAAACCTTCCGTCATGACTTTGTCATTGCTCGAGGGGGTCTTGGGAATGTCCTTCTCTCATCACGAACATCAAGGTGTGTCGGTGCTGGCCCTGCAGCTCGCGCGCGTGCCGTTCGCATCGCCACGGGCCACGTGAAAAGAGGTCGCAGGGCAGAGCGTCACAAACTCGGGATGGGAGGAGCCAGGAAAAGGAAGAGCCAGATAGAGGGGGAGGAGGAGGAGGAGGAGGAGGAGGAGGAGGAGGAGGAGGAGGAGGGCGAAGAGGAGGAGGAGGAGGACGACGACGAAGAGGAGGAGGAGGAGGAGGAGGGCGAAGAGGAGGAGGAGAAGGAGGAGGAGGAGAATCAGGGGAGGAAGGAGGAGAAAGCCGGTCACTGAAATGGGCCGAACGCGCCAGGAGCCCGCGCCGCGAACCCCGATCCCTTCAGGGAGGCTGGCTGTTCAGCCACCTCCTCCTCCTCCTCCTCCTCCACCTCCCCTTCTACCACCACTTCCTCCCTCTCCCGCTCCTCTTTCAGCCAGTCCTCCTCCTCCTCCTCCTCCTCCTCCTCCTCCCCCTCCTCCTCCTCCTCCTCCTCCTCGTCGCCATTCCACCTCTACAGCTCCCCGTCCAATCGTTCTCTCGCGGTCTGAGGCCAAAGGAACGTCTTCCGGAGCCCGACCACTTACAATTTGCAGTCGTCGCTAAGGGCGGATCTGAGGGGAGGCCGCGATCTACGGGGCGGTCTTGCGCAGATGCCCTCCGTGGCCCGTGCCCACGGGATCGCCTATCCGCGGGATCGCGCCTCGGTGTCCTGACCGCGAGGGCATGGATATGGTGCATGCTTTCTTCGCTCGTGGCCGTCGGAGAAGCTCCGGCGGCAGTCGGCCAGGTTGGGGTGCGGGGCGAGGTCCCGGAGCAGCGCCACCTCCTGGGAGGAGGAGCAAGTCGACGTCGAGGCGCACACTTTCCAAGGTCCGCACGGGCCTCTTGGATCCGCGCCAGGGGCGGTGCCCGAGGCGCCTCCAGGTGAGGTCTGCACCCCGAACTGAGCATCGTTTAACCGATCCCTATCCCCACGGGCCCACGCACGTGGCCTGGGCCCACCTGGCCGACAGAGCCCCCTTGGATGGGGCTATCGGCTGTTCCCTTCGAGTTTCGAGGAGCATATTCATCCCCAACTGGGGTGGTGGGGTGGTGCAGCTCGGGAGTGGGATACGGGATGAGGATGAGGGGTCGGTGAAATGATCCTGACGACCCAAGAGCTCTGCGCGGAACTCCGACAGTGTACGTCCCCGCTCTCCTCCGTGGCAACGTTTCCGCGATGTCGGCCCCCCAGGATCTCAACCTCTTCCCAGGGACCGGCCTTTCATCCTGAGTAACTAGTTGTTTTACGGTCCCGGGGCCAGGACACGGCGAACCAGGGCCGAACTCGACGAAAAACTGGCCGCTGCAATGTATCTATTGCGTCGCCGTGGATCTGAGGGTCTGTGCAGACTTGTCTTCCTGCGGCTCCTGCAGGACGGTGTCCCTGGCCTCCTGTCAGCGGCGCGCCGAGGGGGGGAGTGCGAGGGGAACGGCATTCGCAGATGGCGGCGGCTGGGCTGATCCGAAGGCTTGCGAAGCTTCTCAGAAGGCCAGACGCCGTCGGAGCCTTCTGAGAAGGTCCGCCCCCATCTCCCCTGCACAGGAGGCAACTCCTGGGAGGTCTTCGCAGGAAGGCCCGATTCGGCCGGCCGAAGCGGGAATATACAAGCAGGATGGAGCCAGATGGATCCAGATCAGGCCAGTGAGCCATCGCAGAACTGCCAGCGCCGATGCAGCACTGAACCTCCCAAGAATTGCATCCCGGCCTTTGGGGAAACCAAAAGGTACCGATACCGCTACTCCCCGGACCTCTCCTGGGGTGCGTTCTGACCAGGATTTCGAGGCGAATCCAGCGGTGGCGACGACGGAGGCCCAGGGGGGCCCAAAAAGGGAAAAACGAGGGGAGGGGAGGGGAGAGGTATGGGCACCTCTTCCTCCTGTGAGCCTTGCCCCCTGGGCAGCGCCGCCGATCCTGCTCCATTCCGGAGAGCCCGATGGCCTTCGCCGTGAAGGAGTCCCGCGCGCCGCCCGCCTCGCGGATCCTGCCGGGGAGGGGGCGCGGGGCTGCCGTAGCGGTGGGGCCGTCCACGGCGGCAGCGCGGCCAGAAGCGAAGAGGCGAGCCGACCGCGAAGCCGAAGCCGACCGAAATCGGCAGGCCGTAAGCAGCCCAGGATCTGCCGACCGACCAGACCGCCCCAAACTACCCCGAAGACCCACCGACCAGACCGCCCCAGACTACCCCGAAGACCCGCACCTGCCGGAGGACGAGGTTGGCGACAAGCTGTCTACCATTGCGGCTGTCGAAGATGCAGCCAGTCAAGACCTTGGCTGCAAGTGCAGGCTCGTTGACCTGGGTACCCGGTTGCGGCGCTCGACCTTCCAAGGGCGAGGATGAGCATGATAATCGCAATATCGCTCATGTCGCACTGGGCGCCGCTTCGGGTTGGAGGGGGTGCAGGTTCCACATGCGTGATTTTGTTCCATGTTCCCGACGACCCCCCTCCACTGGGAATGGGGGGCAAATTGGGGCCTTCCGCTTGGGTTGGGGTGGCTTGGCATGTGGTGAGGATGGGATTCGCAAATGTATACACTGACGTATGTAGGCCCTTGTCTGAAGCATGGTGTCCTTATTAGTTGGCTGGCCGTGTCACGCTCGCGAGTCTTCCCCGCATGCAATGTCCACTATGCTGTGCGAGACAGCGTTTGCGAACGTAGCTTCATGGTCGTGCTCCTGCATTCGATAGAAAGGCGCAGCGACACGGCAATGGCACCACCAAGCGACCGAACGCAACCGCCTGTGGCCCAGCAGGACCGACCGAGCCGCGTGAAAAAGGGCCAGGCTGGCCTCCACGGGCCAGCCTCTGCGGCGATCAGCACCCCCAGGATCCCCGCCAGTGGAGGCACCTGGGGTGCTCAGGCCGCCTATACCGATACCTCTGCTCGTCCGACCTCCCTTGGGACACGTTCGGGCCCGGACTTCGAGGCGGATCGCGAATCTCCAGCCATGGCGGCGAGGCGTCTCCCATGGGAGGCCAGGAGGCTCGACGAGGAGAAAACCAGGGATGGCCGTGTCAGCAAAAAGTGGAGGGTGGGAAAGCTCCCTAGGAGGCAACTACTGGGAGATGTTCGTCGGAAGGCTTAGGGAGAATTGAAGCCGATTGGGGGGACCCATCTGCGCCAGACCCAGTGCTGGAGCCTCAACAAGCACCCCGAATAGCCCAGTGCGGTCTCAGTACCCTGGCGCCGCCTCAGGCGGCGCCCCTGGAGTCCGTCCTCGACTCCTCGGGGGGACATGCTGGGGCCGGCCCGGAGTGCTCGGGGGGCCTGTTGAGGCTAGACGAACTACATGAGGAGGGCTGTCCGTGCGCAACCCGAAACAAGAAAGCCCAGAATCAAATCAATGAGTAGGATCGGATATCGAAATAAATCGGACGGGCGGAAACCGGCAGCCAAGGGGGGAGAAGTCGAACCGGCGGACATTGGCAGGCTCGGAAGGTCCCCATGTAAAGACCGACGCCCGAATCGGAATCCGAGGCCGAATCGCATCATAATCGGAGGTCGAATCGAAATCGAACCAGATCAAGCTGGAAAAATCGACATTCGGGGGCGGCCAAGAGGGGGGCATCCAAGAGGGGGGGCGCAAATCATGGCCGGCGGCACGGGAAAGGCCCAAGGGGGGACCGGGGACGCGTTGCAATGAGAAGAGGCGCCATGAAACCTGGGGAGACATCGTGTCCCCCGCCATGACATCCACACCGCCCTGGTCATCACCCCCCTCCTTACCAGCCTCGAACTTATCCCTATCCCTAAGATTGACACGCCAAAAGGCGATGACAATCTTAGGGATGCGCCCTCAAACGATCAGGGAATCCCCAAGATTGGCATCGTGATGAGGAGATGCCCAGCATAGGGATAGGGATATGCTCCAAGCCAGTAGCCTCCTTGCCGACCCAAAGAACTGAGCCCTGCGGAAGCCCTGCCTGGGCCGGTCGTCCTGTACACCTCGCCGCCCTCCGGCAGCAGAGCCACGGGGCGGAAGCCCGCCCTCCGCAGCGCAGCTTCTGGCCCGGGCGGCCCCGGCGGCGCCTCGGGCCCGCAGGCGCCCAGCACCGCGACGGCCAGCGGGGCGCCGCGGTCCAGCCAGTGGTCGGCCAGGGCGTCCTCGTCCTCGACGGCGGCGCGCACGGGGGTCGCGTCGCGAGGGGTGCGGCCTTCCCCGAGACCCTGGCGCCGCGTGCACCCACAACGGACGATTTCTGGCCTGGTGTCGGGCCCTGGGGCCCTCGCAACTCGATCCGGCTCAAGAACTGGAGTAGAGTGACGGGGTCCAGTACTTCGGTGGCGAATTTGTCAGTGATGTTGCATATTTCCTGCAGCGTCAGATCTGAGGGCGGGCGGGGTGCTTCTCTGAAAATCTTGGGCCTTTCGAGTTTCCATCATTCGTGGTTTTGGTTGGTCCAGCATGCAACAAACTGAACCGTCAACATGGGAAACGAAAGTTCCTCACCAACGATCCGTAGCGGGGCGAGGGTCCTGCGCGGACCGAATGCATGATCGGCCAATCACCATGTAGGTAGCGAGTGGGAATCTCTGCATGTTTGGATAGGCAGCAGTTACCACCATCGCACTGACCACCGAGTCGTTCATACAAAGGCCTTCCTACAATGGCCCCGATGCTTCTGAGAAGGCCTTCGACTTGGAGGCCCAGGAGGGTTTCTAAGAGGCCACCGCCTTCTTCCGATGAGCAAGGACCAACCGTCCAAGCATTCCCGTGGGCCGACCATGACATGTTTTTACAACGAAGGAGCCTTCGAATCCACCAGAGAAGTGCACTAAGAACACTCGAGCGATGTACGCAAATCAGGCAGCCTCGACCAGAAACATTCTCAGAACGCTCCGTGCAAACCACAGACTGTTCATGTAAATACCTCCTAAACAGGATCGGAGTAGGCGGGGCCGCAGAATCGCGCCGCATCGCCGACACATCGGCGATGCATCGTCGGCGGCGGCATGGAGAACATCGGGCTGCACATTGAGCCGCATCGCCGATGCATCGGCGATGCGGCGCGATCCTCCGACCCCGTCTGCTCGGACCCCATCTGGGCGGCCTCGATCACGGCATGCCCTCGGCAGGCCTGTGGGCAGGTCAGGCGCCCCACCGCTGCGCGAACCTGAGAAGCACCCGGCTCCCCTTCGGAAGGCCCACTACTGCTGCGACGCCCCCGTCGACCGTGCGCGCCGCCGGTCCTCGACGGCCTGGCCCCCCGCCCGCAAGGCCTGGCAGGGATCAGCCGGCATCGAGCTGGGACCACCGAGCCGCCTCCTCCTCCTCCTCCTCCTCTTCCTCCTCCTCCTCCGCCTCCTCCTCCTCCTCCTCCGCCTCCTCCTCTTCGTCCTCCTCTTCTTCCCGATGCATCGGGGCGCTCATCCGAGCGCACCACAGCTGAGCAACGGCTAGCACTCTGTAATAATAGCCGCCACCTTGTCCCCTCCCTCAGGGAGGAAACCTGCCGCGAACCTTCTGAGGGCGCGCAGCCCATGCCCCCCAGGCTGTCTGCAAGGGGAAGGAAGACTCTTCAACTGTTTAGACGAATGGGCCCCACACACCAAACAGGCCACAGCGGGATTCTTCTGCTTCCAAAAACGCGGTGCAGTATCGAGAGACACCAGCTTATGTGGAGTTTCCCCTTGTGCCTCGAGCTTCCTCGAGGCCTCCACTGCACGAGATACGATAAAGCCAGCGCGCTCTCTCTCTCTCTCTCTGCGCGGGCTCTGAGACACGGCAACGTCTGCACCGGCGGCTTCCGTCGGGGCCATGCCAATCATGCTCGAGAATCGATCGCACCACGGGCAGAAACAGGCCAGACGACGCGCGCGGCCGAATCGGACGAGCCGAGTGACGAACAACAACACAATCACTACCATCGACCGACGCCCCGACGGTGCCGACCCAGCGCGAGACTCCCTCAACGAGTGCGAGAGACTTGAAACGGAGCTGTCTCACACCACTATGAATCCGCACACTCGAGGCTGCTTGCTTGGCCCAAACATCCGCCCGATGATTGCCAAACCTGTCACGTCTAGACACGAGCCCCGACTCCACGGCCTGGATAGGCAGATGCGTTTTTACCTTCCGCACCACCAGGCCAGCTTCGCCGAGGTCCCCGACGTCTTCCAAGATCGCCCAAGACTTACGCCACAAAGAGGCCCAAGCGCTGCAGTACGCAGTAGGTCTTGTCAGGCCCCCTCTCGTAAGCACCCTCGAACACGAAACTGCTATCTGTCACCGCCTCGATCGGCGGAACCGCTACCTGTAACAACTGGACTAGGGCCAATAGGTCGGCGCCATCAATGTCACGCACAGGACCTGGACACAAGCCGCTCACAACATCCTGAAGCCCAAGCGGCTCGGACGTGAAAGTGACAATCGCCCATCCCGCCACCGACCCAGTCACCCAGCCCCCCTCAAAGACCGACCCATCAAGATACGCAGTAGCAGCCTGGATGATCCCCAAGCCGTCATGCCTGCGCCATGCAATATGCTGCGCAGCTGGTGGCCTCCAGACTTCGGGCACACGCGTGCTGGCCCAAAGACATCACTCGAGCAGAATCTTGACCGCCGGCTCGTAAGCCCGATCCGTCCAAACGCGATACTTTGCAGGCACAGGCCCACGCTCAGCCGCTTCGAAGAAAAATGCCTATGCAACAGAGTCCTCAGACTCACACAGCAAACACTCGCTATTATCAGTGTGCCCTGCCTCGAACTTCCTCGCCATGGGCCACTGCCCGTTCACAATGACTGTGCGAAGATATCCTCTCTGCTCCTGCGTCAACACTGGCAAGATCTTACACTCGTGCGGCGCGAAGCGTCCAGCGTTCACCAGCGCTGCAAGGGGCCCCCAGACAGCTCCGCGAACCAAATGCCCCAGCGAACAATCAAACGAGACATACTGCCACTGCCATGCCACAACCGCCCTCTCTAGCAACTGTATGATGTACCACGGGCACACTTCACGAACATCAATCACGGTTCCAAGACAGACCATCCCACTCTTTCCAGAGACAGCTTGACAGCCCCACAGGGCCCTTGAACCTGAGTCCAATGCTTGATATTGAGAACTCTACTCATGGAAAACTCGAGAGCACGCGCTGGCACCCAAGACCCCCGAAGCGCTTTAACAAGGGCAACCACAGGCAGCGCAGTCGCACGATAAAGCGGATCGACCTTTCCATGACGCATAAATGACAGCGGACGGCTCTTGCCTGCAGTTCTCGGCTCGATGGCCGCAAATGCTTAAGATCTTGCAGCCTCCAGCTCGCCACAGTTATAGCCCGTCACTGCCACGCCGTATGCGCAGCTAGACTCAATTCCCGACCGTGCTACCCGTACTGCAGCATACCTCTTTCGCGCCCCAGTCCAAAAACGCTTCATCCTACGTGCCTTCCCTCGAGCCTGCTGAATCTTCTCCTTCCGAACTCGACGATATATCCTCCTGCCTGCCGTACAGTCAACCCCGAGACCCCGCTCATGTCGCACAGCCATGGCTCCAGTTCTTGCAATCATTTTCGCAAACGCCGCCCTAGCATCAGGATCATTGGAAAAGACACGAGTCTTATCAACATGAATGCACAAATCGTACTCGGCCAGAACAGTCTGCGAATCTCGGGCTGCTTGCGCAACCTCTCGACAAACCCGATCTCGTCCTCCAACACGCTGAAACAACATATCATCCACCACAACCATTGGCGTAATAGTTTTGCGCAACCGATACACCTGACCCATGGGAAGAATGAGCTCAAGTTTGACCAACGTGGTCGCCCACCCATCCCCTGGAAGAATAGTTTGCTCGGTCTCGACCCCCTCGGACACGACAGACCCCAACGCAAGGTACCTGCGATCCCTACAGAGTTCCACTTGGAGCCGAAGTTGCCAGAGAGAGAGAACCCAGTGGCCGCAGCGGCCTGCAAGAGCCAATGCGTTGTACTTGCTCGAAAGCTTTCAGAATATCCAAGAGCACCTGAGCAGAACACCGGACCCCTTTACTGGCCTCCCGCGACTTGCAAGTAGCCCACTCAGACCAAGCCGTTTGTTGCCAGACCGCTCTCTCACACGACCTCCCAGTACAAGCCCAGAAATACGCTCGGTGGTTCGCTTTCCCCCAAGATACTGCAAGAGGCCTCCGAAGACGCGCCTGAACTTGCGCCAGCACGTTTATCAGAGCAATCGGACGAACTCCGCCAAGCCTCTTCTGCAAGAAGACGATCTTCGTGCAGAGAACATGCCAGCAGGCTGAGGACTCCACCGCCATGATCAGATCTATGAAGCACTCGAGCGCATCATCGCCCAGCTCCAACAGTTGCCGTGGTCGAGTGGAGTCGAACCCTACACCTGACGCCTTCTGGAAGGTCATGGGCACCTTACGCAGCAGCTCAACGCTAGGCCAAGGTGGCCTCTCCCCCAAATCAGCGGGCCAGCTCACGCACTTGTGCCACTCGCCGACCTTCCACCAACGGGAACACTCCGCCTGCAGAAGCTCCATTTCACGTTGTTTGTGAACACGGAGATGCGGCCGCTCTCGATCTGGTGCACACGGGACCCAGGGAACCTTTTCCCGAGTGATGGCAAATAGACCACCAGCGCCAGAGCCCGCTTGGGTCGTCACCCACTTGCGAAAATCACGAATTCGGTTCTGCATGTCACGTTCCGCCAACTGCGATGCATGATGCTTCACACTGCACGCCAACAACTTTAGCGAACCGACCTCCATCTAGCCTATGGGAATGACAGACAGTAAACTCCACCACCGCCAAACATCGCCATCATGCACTGAGGTGACCGCAGAAGGGGCTTTGTCTATGAGCCTGCGGACCGCCCGCAGCGCGTTGAGCCTGGTAAGCGGCTGCTGCCAGCACGCGGCGAACGCCAGCGAGGACCCCACAGAACGAAGCCAGAGCACTGCTGGCGATACACGAGAGAACTTTGGCGGTAAACGAAGTAACTCATTCACGAGACGAGGTTCCGAAACACGAGCACGCCCACACATTTTGCCTGCCTCCTGCCTCGGAATCTGATACACCTCAATCCACTGCTGTTCTGCTGATGAAGCGAAATCGCTCCATGCTCTCGTCAACTATTGTTGAGAAACCGCGCCCTGTGGCATCATGTCTCTTACATGAACCCACATCGTGTCAAACTCGCGCCTGTGTCAAACTCATTCCTCATCCTCCTCCTCCTTCTCCTCCTCCTCCTCCTCCTCTTCCTCCTCCTTCTGCTCCTGCTCCGCAAGCCAGTCGGCAGTCGGGCCGGGTCGGGACGCACTTGGACGACCGCGGTGGTTGCTAAGGGGCTGCAGGGGCTCATATCCCAGACCCCCCTCGGATCATGACAAAAATCACGACGGGAGGTTGTTTTTTTGCTGTGTTCGGCCTCCGGGGGCCCTTGCTCGGCCTCGGGACCGTCAAAAACGACTCAGGATGAAAAAACGGTCCCGGGAAATGGGTCCGGACTTCTGGAGCTCGCGTCATGAAAAATCTGGGATGGGTGGATGCGAAGGTGGGTTTTATCTGGCCTAACCTGGCAGATTAGTGGGCTACAGATGCCCAAAGCGGCTTACGGGGGGCAAAGACCTGGGCTAAGCAGGCGGAGCAGCATGAAGTATTTGCCACACACTCACAAGCTTGGCTAGGGCAGGCGTAGCTTAGAGCATCAACTGAAAACGCCCCTATCCCCTTAGCACCCTCTGCGGTCATCCCAGCGCGTCAGAGCCCAAACCAGATCGAGCCGTGAAGCAGAACAACACCACGGAAACTATTTCGCTACCTTGGGCTTCGGAGCCGCCACGGAACGACTCAGGATGAGAAGCTGGCTGTCGGGAAGGGGTCGAGACCTTTGGGGGGTCTAAGTCATGACATAAAAAAAGCGTCGGGTGTCTGAGGTTCCGTCCCCAAACCCCCGACGTAATGATTTTTTCGTTACGTCGACCTCCAAAGGTCCCGACACTTTCCCTATGACCGGCTTTGCATCCTGAGTCTTTCTGTTGACGCTCCCGAGGCCTGGTGAGGGCCCCTGGATGCCGAAAATAAAAAAAAACTTCCTTCATGATTTTTGCAATACTCGAGGGGGTCTGGGTCTGCATGGGCACGGATTCGACACCGAATCGGATTGGCAGCGCCAGGATTCACAATGGCGCCCTGCAAGCATCGGGCCGCATCGGATCGCAGGAGCACTGGCAGCGAGACGGAGCTGGCCAGCATCGATGGATCGGATCGACCTGGGCCCTGCCTGGCGAATTCCTCGCCTTGTCAGTCCTGGCGTTTTTTCCTGCACGAGGCCGGCTTCGGGGGCGAGGACCCCTCAAACACGGATCTGGGGCGACAGACGCCTCTGCAGACCAGGTCGGGAGCTCTGGGCCCGCCCGATTCAAGAACCCTAGCGTCGGATGTCTGGGTTCTTCTTGGGGACACCAGAAGGTATACCGATACCGCTACTCCCTGGACCTCTCCCGGGGCGCGTCCTGACCAAGATGTCGAAGCGAATCCGGCGGTGGCGACGAGGAGCTCCGAGGAGGCCCCAAAGAGGGGAAGACGAGGAGAGGGCAGAGGCAAGGGCACCTGTCCCTCCTCTGACTTCGGGGCCACCCGGAGTCGCACATCGCGCCCCGTGCTGCGCGACCGCCTCCGCGCCCTCGCGCCGCCGCCCCGGAGAAGGGCAGCTCGCCGGCCCAGGCCGCGCAGCGCGAAGCGCGATTATCTTCGCCCCCCGTGAGGGTGGCGCGACGGCGGCGACGACGACGACGACGACGACGGCGACGGCGACGACGACGACGACGACGACGGCGACGGCGACGACGACGACGACGACGACGGCGGCGGCGGCGACGACGACGGCGGCGGCGACGTCGGTTTCTGCTTTGCCCTCCTGAAGCGCCCCCGTCGCCACGGTCGCATGGACGCATGCAGAGGTCCAGGGTCCGCGTATCGGTTTTGCGGGATGAGCGAGAAACGCTCTTATCCGGGAAGGAAGACCAGTCGCCGCAATAAGGGGATCGAGAGGACCTGGTGCCCACGTGTCGACGGAGCCGAGACGCCGGATGCCTGGGCCAATCACCCCAGGAACTCCGCCGTGCGTCCTGGGTGTGCGCGCGGGAGTACGAGTCTCGGCGCCGGCTCTGCACAGCAGAAGCAAGCGCAGCGGGGAACACGAGGGTCGCAGGCCCCTCCATGACGAACGAACGAACACACACCCAATACACCTGCATGGGCGATTCCGGAAACCCCAAGCCCAGAAACGTTTTCATCTCTTGGGGGCGCATCTTTCCCTTCCGCCGCCTTCCGCCAAGCTTCCGCCAAGCTTCCGCCAAGCTTCCGCCGGCTTCCGCTGGCGGAGGCGGCCTCGATTTGCTTCCGCCGACCTTCCGCCGCCCTTCCGCCGCCTTCCGCCGAGGAAGAGATGACAACTACTTCGATCTTCGATGGCAAAGCCCTTCGACCCATATAATGGGGAAACCAAAAGGTACTGATACCGCTACTCCCCAGACGGTCTGGGGAGTAGCGGTCTTGGCCAGACCTCTCCAGGGGTACGTTCTGACCAGGATTTCGAGGTGAATCCAGCGGTGGCGACGAGGTCCTCCGAGGAGGCACAAACAGAGAAAAGCGAAGAAAGGGTAAAGGTAGGGGTACCTTTTCCTCCTCTGAAAATTAGGGGGAGCGTGCTGTCGGATGGGGGTCCCCGCTCGAGCTGGGAGCCCCCCGCGGGATGCGACAAGCCGCACACGCCCTGCTGGCCATCGCTCGGACGTCCAATCTCTGTGCTTTTTTCGGTTTCGTGCGTGGTTTTTACCTAACAGCGAAGACTGATAGGTTTCTAGTGGGGTCAAAAGAAAGCATCATGACTCCTCAGGGGGGTCAGGGCGGGACCCGGGGCTGCTGCCGCCGAAACCCAAATCGCATGGGACATCCTCGCAAAATCGCTCTTGTCGCTGCTAGAACTCCATTCCCGGCGTACATTTTGGATGCCCGGAGCCAACTGTAGGCCACTTCGTGGTCTTCGAGTTCCCAGAACTCCATTCCCGGGCCACATTTTGGATGCCCGGAGCCAACTGTAGGCCACTTCGTGGTCTTCGAGTTCCCAGAACTCCATTCCCGGGCCACATTTTGGATGCCCGGAGCCAACTGTAGGCCACTTCGTGGTCTTCGAGTTCCCAGAAACTCCACGGGGGCACATTTTGATGCCCGGAGCCAACTGTAGGCCACTTCGTGTCTTCGAGTTCCCAGAACTCCATTCCCGGGCCACATTTTGAATGCCCGGAGGCTGAGGCACTGAGGCTGAGGCTGACGCTGAGGCTGAGGCAGGCTGAGGCTGAGGCTGAGGCAGGCTGAGGCAGAGGCAGAGGCTGAGGCAGGCTGAGGCAGGCTGAGGCTGAGGCCGAGGCTGAAGGCAGAGGCTGAGGCTGAGGCTGAGAGGCTGAGGCTGAGGCAGGCTGAGGCTGAGGCTGAGGCTGAGGCTGAAGGCAGGCTGAGGCTGAGGCTGAGGCAGGCTGAGGCTGAGGCCGAGGCAGGCTGATGCTGAGCAGCCTGAGGCTGAGGCTGAGGCTGAGGCTGAGGCAGGCTGAGGCAGACGCTGAGGCAGGCTGAGGCAGACGCTGAGGCTGATGCAGGCTGAGGCTGAGGCAGGCTGAGGCTGAGGCTGAGGCTGAGGCTGAAGGCAGACTGAGGCTGAGGCTGAAGCAGGCTGAGGTTGAGGCTGAGGCAGGCTGAGGCAGGCTGAGGCTGAGAGTGAGGCAGGCTGATACTCAGGCAGGCTGAGGCTGAGGCTGTGATTGCGAATGCCGTTGCCACTGCGACTGTCGTCGCGAATGCGACTGCGACTGTGAGAACAGCAGAATTCTACAACTGGATTCTGATCTGAATCTTAAGGAGAATGCTTCCAGATATGCTTCTACACATCGCTGTTAGGTTGCTTTGCCAGGATAATTTTTGCTAAATGATCAAGGATGCTCCTCGATGGTGCTCGCCGAAAGAAAAATGCACACGTCCGAGCGATACCAAGCCAGCCTGTGGGTGTGGGTGCGTGCTGTTCGTCCCTCGCTCCCGGGCCCCGTGGCCGAAGCCGACGCGCCCCCCAGAGCGCCAGCAGCATCACCCCACTGCCACATGGACATCGGCCGATGTCCCGGCCCGCGCCCCTGCAGCTTTCCGCGAGACATCCGCCGATACGATTTGTTCCATCCGCGGTCCCAGAGGTCCCGACTCCTTCCCCGAGGGGGGGGGATTCCCGTCCCGGATCCATTTTCATGGCCCCGCCCAAGCCCGCTGACGGGCCCCGGAGGCCGAAATCCAGGCAACGCTGCCGGATCGACAAAACCACAGTGGCGGATTTCTGGGTTCACGGCGTGGGTGGTGCCGGCCGCCCGAAGCGGGCCTCCGGACGCTCTGAGGAGTGGCGGAAGCACAGAGGGCGCGGCGTCCCGGAACTCTGGCGCCGTGCTGCTCTCACGACGTGGACCCCAACAGATCTGGACCTTCTCTCCGGGACCGACTCTTCTACGGGCCTCCTGGATGGGGTCCGAGAAGATGGGTTCGGAGGATCGCGCCGCATCGCCGATGCATCGGCGATGCATCGCCGATGCACCGGCGACGTCGGCGCAGAGCAAATCGGGCTCCGCATCGAGCCGCATCGGCGATGCATCGGCGATGCGGCGCGATCCTCCGAAGCCATCTACTCGGACCCCATCTAGGAGGCCTAGATATTCATCCTGAGTCTTCTGTGATGGCCCCGGAGACCAGTAGAAAGGACCCCTGGAGGCCGAAAACGGCCACGAGGCCTCCCGTCGCGATCGGTCCACACCGCGAGCATACAGGTGGGGGGTTCGTCGAGCCGCCAGGGAAGCCTGGTACAAGCACGGCACGCCGAGGTGCCGCGACACCCGGCGCTTGAGGTCGCGACCTCTCGCCCCTGGGGCCACCTCGATCTCAAGGTGCGTCCCGGGAGCGCCCTGGAGTGCCACGCAAACGCGCATGGCTCCCCGCTGGGCGCACTGGCGGTGCCGACTCGCTCGGCCGGCCACTCGCAGGAGTGGAGCACCAGGCAAGAATGACTTATGTAGTGCGCGGATTGCCGACCGTTGCCTGAGGCGCGACGGAAGCAGCCTGCTGGGGACAGGGCCTCGGACATCGATTACCTTCTGAAGTTGTTCGAGGGCATCCTGCCCGAGTGGTTGTCTTTTTGGTGGTTGCTGCTGGGTCTGGTACGGCACTCGTGGTTACGGCCCTCAACTTGAAGGGCGACAATGCTTGCCCTGCAATGTTGTATCATCGAGGACGTGTCCAAGGTGCAGTACCCCAGTCTGTGTGTGGAGAAGGGCCACTCGTGAACACCACCAGCCCGCTCGGGGGGGGGCGGGGGGGTAGGCGCCCCCCCCAGTAGGGAGCCCACAGAGGACGTACGCGCCCAGCTATATGTGCATCCGCGAGACTGGCCGCGTGGTACGAACATTCGGACAGCGCGTACTCTCGAAGCCAGCGTGGATTCACGTACGTGTACGTCCCTCTTTCGCTCCTGACCCAGATGCCGAGAGCGAGGGCAGCAGCCCGTCTCGAACTGCTCGCGAGCCGTTGGAGGTCTGGGAAGCGGGCGCGGGGGACGAGCGCGCGGCTCGCGATGCCCTCCGGCGCTCCCCCCCTGGACTGGCCGGCGAGCTGCCGCTGCCGGCGCTCCCCCCCCCCCGAGAAGCCGGGCGCCGCGGCGCGGCCCGCGCCGAGACGGCTGCGGCAGGTCGGTGGCAGAGCCGCCGTGAGGCACCGGAGGGGGGGGGGGGGGCGACGACTCCGGGGAGGGCGTCGCGGGTACGGGAAAAGGAGGCTCGGCGGCGAGGGAGGGGGGAAGTGGGAAGCAGAAGGCCCTCTCAGAAGGCGGCGGGACTTCTCTCAGAAGCCCTCGCGCCTTCGGAGAGGTTTTTCGTGCCTGAGGGGAAGGCTTAGAAGACTTCTCAGAAGGTGCAACGAAATGATACTGTAGGGCAGATCGGGGCTACTGCAGGGCAGATCGGGGCCCAGATCAGACGAGGCCGCGCAAGTTCAGGCGGGACAAGCACCAAGACCATACCATGCCAGTGAATATGATTGATGCAACATCCTTTGAGTTGCAAGCGAGCAAATGACACCTTGTCTGCAAGGCCTTTCCAGTTCTCAGGCGCCTTGGCAAGGACCTAACATTATGCAGAACCAGCAACGCAACAAGAATGCTAACGGCCGATCCTTTGGCATTCGGGATCCTGGAGGCCCGCTTCGAGGGCCCAGGGGCCTGCGGCAAGTAGCCCGCGGACGCGAGGTCCACCCGAAAGGTGGGGGCCGAGAGCACCAGAGCCCCGCGGAAAAGGCTGTGGCTTCGGAGGTGTGGGCCGTGCAGGCCTCCGAGCTCGGCTGAGCTTCCGAGATCGTCCACGCCCGGACGGTGAGCCCTGCCAGCTTCCCCAACGTGTGGGAAGGGAGCTCCAGAAGCTAGAATGGGCCTACGAGCAGGGGGCAGCGGAAGATGACGCCGATGACGCCGACGACGACGACGACAACAGCTGCTCTCCGACACTGGTTCTGGCCGAGGCAAACAAACCCTGGGCTCAGGATCGGTGTGCACGCCTTCCTGGCCCAGCCAGGACTGCGTACACACCGATCCGTAGGCCAGGAGGGGCCTGGCCAGAATCAGTGTCGGTGTGCGGTCGTCGCGGTCGCCGTCGCCCGCACGAGTGACCTTCTGTGCGCGGCTCGCCGCTCGTTCTTGGACGCCCGAAAGGGGTACGGGAAACATGGTTTCAAATGAGCATGAATTGCTGCCCGTCCTTCTACCAACTCTGTCGGTCCTTGTATTGAGCAGGGACCGACCGTCCCAGCATTCCTGTAGGCCTACCACGACGTGTTCTCAGAAACCCGAAATGTTCCAAGAACGAAGACAAAATTCTTAGAGCATAAACCCGATGAGTTAAAACAGGACAGACCCGGCAAGACACGATCTGAGAACCTCTCGTGCAAACCACAAAAGGTTCTTAGAATATTGTCTGGCGAGCCTGCAGGTGACCCAGGACGCTTCGCCACAGCCTGACTGCACCAACTCCTTCCGAACCCATCCTGGACGTCCCGATCGCTGCGTGCGGTGCGGCAGCAGCGGGCCGCGCGCCCACCTCTCGAGGGGGGCCGCGCGCCGGAGGCCACCCCGGCGAGGGGGCACTCTCCTGGGGGGGGGGCGGAGCGCAAGGCCCTGCACTTCCCCCCCCCCCCGGGAGAGGAGTCGGGTCGGGGGAGTGCAAGACGGACCAGAAACGTCGTCGTCGTCGTCGACTCGTCGTCGTCCTCGTCGTCGACTCGTCGTCGTCCTCATCGTCGTCGTCGTCCTCATCCTCATCGTCGTCGTCGTCGTCGTCAACTCGTCGACTTGTCCTCGTCCATGTCGTCGCAGTCGTAGTCGTCGTCCGGCGACCAGCCCGCGAGGCGGACCAGAAAACGAAAGACACCGCCCCTCCTAAGCCCCACGGGGCGTAGCGCATACCGAGAAATCTGGCGTGGGCTTGTGTGGCAGACGCTGCGGCCCCCGGCGGGCCGTAGCGCAACACGGACGGCCGTAGGTGGGGTGGTGTCGTTTGTTTCCTGGTCGGCAAGGCGAGCCGTCGGACGCCATCGCTCGGACGTGGTCTTCTCGGGGGCCGAAGGGGTAGGATAACAAAGGGCGGGGTCGCAGATCGGCTCGCGCAGCTGGTCTCCCTGGCGCCTCCTGCCGCAGGGAGGCGCCCGTGCATCGAGGAACGGGCCCGGCGGCGGGGCGGGAAACGGCGGCGTGCAACAGATCTTGTACCCCCACCCCCCTTCTCCTGTCCTGCCCTTTCGTCTGGCCCGATCTTCGTGTGCGCACTTCTTTTGCAGTCGGACCCGCCACAGCCCCACGCAGCGGCCGGGCCGCGTGCCAAGAAATGTCTGGGGATGGAGGAACGGTCCTGGGGAAAGCAGGAAGGTCTAGGACTCGTGTCCCTCGGGAATCGCTTCCTTCCTGGCGATCCGCGCGCCATGGCACCTCGGCAACCGTGGCGCCCAGCAGCAGGGACGGCGCGACGTACGCCCCGCGACGCACGACCGCCGACGCCCCGCGCCACGCGGAACACAGCACAGGGTGCATAACACAAGCAACGCTGCCAACAAGCCCACTATGTCTCTAAAGCGGCCCAAGACTGCTCCAAGGTCGCTCAATATGGCCTCAGGATGCGCCATGGGTTCTTCCAAGAGGGCCCACAACGGCCACAAGAGGACCCCCAACAGGGTCCGAAAAAGCCGAAACCATGTGATTGCGCTGATGCTTTCTATGCTTCGCATTCTCGCCTTTTTGTGGCGCTCATCAGGTCACGACGACTTAAGAGGCCTCTCAGGTGGCCCCAAGACAGCCCGAGAGGCCCCCGAGGGTTTCCAAACTGGCCCAAGAGGACCACGCGTTCTATCCTATTCTGGCTTAGCACAGACGAAATGCTGAAGAGGCCTCCAGCAGCCCCAATAAAGCCCCGAGACGGCCCAAGAGGCTGCCAAGGCGTCCCCAGGAGGGCTCCAGACGCACCGCTAGACTTCCAAGACGGCCATGAATAAAGCACCCGAGCAGAGACCCCAAGTTTGCCCAGAGAGGCCCTAAGGCGGTCTGCGAAGGCGCCAGTGAAACGGGCAAACCCTGAGACGGCCCGAGGAGTCCCCGGGAGGCCTCCAAAATATTGCAAGAAGCCCCCAATAGGCCCCAGGAAACCCCCAAGACGCCCCAGTAGAACCCCCAAGAGACCGATCAGAGGCCCCGAAGAGGCCTCCAGGACCCCCCACGGAAGCCCCAATATACCCCAAGATGCCTCCTCCTCCTCCTCCTCATGATCTTCGCCTCCTCCTCCTCCGCCTCCTCTTTTTCTGCTTATCCTCCTCCTCCTCATCATCATCATCCTTCTCCTCCTCCTCCTTTCACTCTTCCGCCCCCACGTACTCCCCGAATGGTTTCCAAAACTGTTGGTACACATATTTTGACAGTTTGGCCTGGTCTTGGCCCTACGTTGGGCCAGGTAGGCGAATCCTACGTTTGCAGCAGGCAGGGGGCGGTGGTGGTTCGCCGCAGGCTTCGTCAATTGCAACGCCGCATCACCAATACAGAACAGCCGATCCCTCCCCAGACCACCGACGATTATAATTGTCGAAGAGAACTCGCGAACCCTTCTCTGGGGCCGCTGCTCATCCTGAGCCGTTTTCTGAAGGCCCTGGAACCTCGATGGTGAGAAAACCTCCGGCGCGACCTCTTCGAGACGCCACGAGGTCTGGCATTCTAGAGGTCTCCAGGAGCTTCCCTTGAGGTCAGCACAAGTTTCTGACAGCATCTGCGGACAAGCGGGTGGCGCAATCGGGAAGCCATCTGAAAGGCCCGGGGGTCTCCACGGAAGCTCCCCCACTTCTCTAGAGCCCTGGGGCCCTTCTGAGAGGGCTCCGCCCTCATAGGAAGCCCCCCACGTCTGCTCAGAAGGCCACGCCCCTCGTGATACGGAAGAACAGCACCCCTAACCCTCTGAGAGGGGACCGAAGTTCGGAGGGCCAAAGCCACTAGGGATAGGGAGCCTGTTCTGCAGATGTGTCAGACAAAACCACCCAGATCAATCCTCCCCAATGCGAGGCGGGACCGGCCCCATGAGGGCGGCGCGGGGGGGGCGGAGCCCTCAGTAGTCGGCCTGGGACTGGTGGTCGATCTGGATAGAGGTGGTGTGGGGCGTCGGATGTTGGAGGCTGGATGTCTGGATGTTGATCTAGTGTAGTCTGGAGCCCAATGGGTGGACGTGGAAGTGGAATCTAAGTGAGGCAGTGTCTCAATCGTGGTATTCGGGTTAGGGGTACTTTGGTTCTCGATAGCCTCGCCCCCTCGCCCCGCGTGCGCGCCAGCCACGCGGCGGCGAGGCGGAGGTGCATCAGAGGGCCGCGCACGCCCCCAAAGACCCTCCTTCCTCCGAGCTTCGGCTCTCTCCGCGCGGGCCGCCCGCACAACGACGGGGCGGGCTCTCCTGGAGCGGGGTGGCGGCAGCGAGCTCACGGAAGGCCAACCAGGGCGATGCTATTCCCATCGCACTCGAGGACCACATCCCAGAAACAGTTCCGAGCACCTAGAACAACGAGTATCGTTTATCCGATCCCCATCCCTAGCGGCGCGGCCTGGGCCCCACTGGCCGATTTATCCCCCTAGATGGGGACATAGGCCGTCCCCTTCGGGTTTCGAGAGGTGTATCTCCAACTGGGGTGGTAATTTGGTTGGGGGTCTCAAAGGGGATGAGGATAGGGATTGTTTGCCCGACGCGCTGGCGAAATGTCGAACAAAACTATCCTCCCAGGGCCCAACACGTGAAAATCATCCAGGTGTGGTGCTTTCCTGGTGCTCGCAGTTTCCATCTGGTGACAAAGGTTACAATAACTCGGAACATCATACAACAAGAGTTGCAGCGGGATGGCAGCAATTAGCTCGCTGAACGTAGGATATTGCTTGAACGGGATGGCTGGCGGCAGTGAGCTCACTTGAGGCACGTTGGGATTGCAAGAGGATGGCGGCAACGAGCCCTCCTGGAAGGCGAGGGTGGAGAAGGCTTTGACGAGCTCGTGGCAGATGCGCGCTCTGTCCGCGCCGGGGGGGAAGCTGTCGACGTCCGTGATCTTCCAGCCCTGGGCAGCGACCAGTGACGACGACGACGGCGACAACGATCGTCGACAGTCCAAGTTTTTTCGCAGCGTATCGCTACGGTTCTCAATGCAAAAAGCAGCAGCAGAGCCCCACAAGGGGACGAGGAGCCCGAGGACGCCCAATCTGGCAACCGTTTCGCGTGAGACGTCCTCACTGGTAACTCAGGAATCGTGCTATCGCTTCGTTTCCGGCAGCATGTTTGGTCCGGACGGCCACGACCGCTTGCAAAAAAATGCTAACGTGCACATGGCCGCGCTTTGCTGCTATTGCGCTGCTTTGCTGGGGTATTGCTTGGATGTGCTCAGGGGTCTCTGGAAGTCCTCGCGGAGGCCTCCTGAGAGCTGGGCGGAGAGATTTGGAAACATGCTGGAGGGTGGCGAGGAGACGGAGGGGGGACCGAATAATGCTAGAAGAAACCCTCGGACTGGCACTGTGGTGCCCCGCCTCAACCCATCCTAGATGCTCAGCCCGTCCTGGCTCTTCTTGGGTGAGTGGTACTGGGGGGCGACCTATCTGGGGGGGAAGACCTTAAAGGGGCCTTTTAGGGCCCCTTTTGAAGCCAGCAGGGTTCGAGAAGGGGCCCTAAAGGGCCCCTTTAGGGCCATTCTCTTCACCCCCCATTGAGGTCACCCCCCATTACCACCCGCCCGATCCTCCTTCTCCTCCTCCTGCACCTCCTCCTCCTCCTCATCATCATAATCAACTTCATCATGCTTAGTATCCTCACCATCTTCATCATCCTCATAGCCCTTATCATCCTCATCAGCATCGGCATCAGCATCAGCATCATCACTATCACCATCATCATCATCATCATCATCATCGTCATCATCATCATCATCATCATCATCATCATCGCCGTCGTCATCATCATAATCATCGTCATCACCATCGGCAGAATCAACACCATCCGCATCGTCTTCAAGATGATTATCATCACCGTCATTAGTATCATAATCGTCACCATCGCCATCATATTCACCATATTCGCATCAACATCACCACCATCACCATCACCATCATCATCATCATCATCATCATCATCATCATCAACATCATCACCGTCATCAACATCCTTCACATCTTCATCCTCCACCTCTTCATTGCCATTGCCATCGTCACTATCATCATTACCAGCAACATCACCATCATCACCACCAGCATGATCAACATGATCATTACTTCCATCATCACCAGCAGCATCACCATCATCATCATCATCATCATCATCATCACCATCATCATCATCATCATCATCATCATCATCATCATCGTCATCAGTAGCATCATCATCATCCACATCCAACTCCTCCGCCTCCTCCTCCTCCGCATCATCACCACCATCAACATCCCCACCATCATAACAATCATCATCACAAGCACCAACATCATCAACATCATCACCATACTCCGCATCATCATCATCACCCTCATCAGCATCCTCATCCTCCTCCTGCTCCGCCTCCTCCGCCTTCTCCTCCTCATATCCACCATCATCACCGTGATCATCAGCATCATCATCTTCATCATCGACACCATCATCACCATCAAATTCTCAACAACATCATAATCAACATCACAATCCTCATCCTCAACATTACCATTCAGACCAACATCCTTTTTCGCCTGCTCAGCCTCCTCCGCCTCATCATCCTCCACCTCTTCAGCATCATCACCATCAGAATCCACAACATCATCATTAGCGTCGACATCATCATCGTTAGCATCATCAGCAGCATCATCGTCATCCGCATCCCAATCATCATTGCCATCATCACCATCAACAGCATCGTCCACGACATCATCCTCCTGATCCCCATCCTCATCCTCATGCTCGTCCTCATCCTCATCCGCATCCTCCTCCACCTCCTCCCCGCCATCATCATCATCATCATCATCATCATCATCATCATCATCAGCATCATCATCACCATCACCATCACCATCACCATCATCATCATCCTCCTCTTCCTCCCCTCCTCGCCGCCATCATCATCACCATCACCAGCATCAGCTTCATCAGCATCATCAACAGCATCACCATCATCATCGTCAACAACACCATCACCATCATCATCAGCATCACCAGCATCAGCATCAGCATCAGCATCATCAGCATCAGTATCAGTATCAGTATCAGTATCATCATCATCATCATCATCATCATCATTATCATCATCATCATCCCGATCAGCATCAGCACCATCATCATCAACACCAACATCATCATCATCAGCACCATTACCAACATCACCACCATCCGCCTCCTCATCATCGTCCTCATCCTGATCCTCATCTCCCTCGATCTCCTACACCTCCTCCGCCTCCACATCCCCCCCTCATCATGAACATCACCATCATCATCATCACCATCATCGTCAACATCCTCACCAGCATCGTCACCATCATCACCATCAGCATCACCACCATCAGCATCATCATCATCATCATCACAGTCATCCTCACTAGGCGTCTATCCTTCTCATCGTCATCGTCGTCCTCCCCCTCCACCTCATTTTTTTATAACGCAATATTTGGAGAGGGGGGGAAAGGGAAGGTCAGGGAACCCGCAAGGCGCCACATGTCTACAGTCCGACCACCATTCACACGCAACCTCAGCCAGCCTGCCAGGCCCGAAGCGAAACTCTGGGCACGCACAGTGAGGGAAAAACGTCTTATTCAAACCCACATAAGACGAAAGGGTATTGGCGCCGTGTGGGCAACTACCCCTAGTGTCTTAGGATAACTCTCCGCGCAAAGTGATTAATGCATGCGGCGGCGTGCCTGAAAGAAAACCTCCCCCAAATCCTATCAACAGAGGCGGCAGCGGGAAGCGGAAGAGGGCGAGGGGCAAGGAAAAAGGAATGGACTCCAGGTCACAGCCAATGGCTCCACTGGCGGGCCAAACACTCTAGAGCAGTAGACACAGTAACCATGGAAAGCAAGGAACCTGAAACATCATGTGGGTATGTGGTATACCCGCGACGCGTCGAGGCCACGAGAGGCGTCCATCCCCGCAACAATGGGGGGCCGAGGCATCCCAGTGGGCGGGCGCCACGGGCTGGGCATAAGGCCCACCTGCAAAACAAATTCAACTAAACACCGAACGACCCGCGGAGGCGGAGAACGAGGAGGAGCCAAAAGAGGGAGGGAACATATCCACCCGCGCCCAGGAAGCCCTCAGGACACCGCGTACTCGAGATTCACGATCAGGCCTTCGGCGAAGGTGCATCATCACCAGCATCGAAACCATCATCATCCGCATGAACATCATCATCATCAGCAACATCATCCTCACCATCGTCATACACTTCCTCCTCCTCCGCCAACTCCGCCTCCCCCGCCTCCTCCGCCGTCTCATCCCCCTCCTCCTTCTCATGAGCATCATCATCATCATCAACATGATCAGCATCAGCATCATCATCCTCATCCTCATCCTCATCCTCCTCCTCTTCCGCCTCCCCCGTCTGCTCCACATCCTCCACCTCCTGCTCACCCTTCTCCTCCTCCTCCTCCTCCTCCTCCTCCTCATCATCATCATCATCATCATCATCATCAGTATCAGCATCATCCTCATCACCAGCATCGTACGTACTCATCCCCACCAGCATCATCATCATCATCATCAGCATCATCATCGTCATCATTATCAGCATCACCATCCTCATCATCATCATCATCACCATCAGCATCATCCTCATGATCATCATTATGCCTATCCTCATCCTGGCCCCCCTCTACTCCTCTCCATCCTCATCATCCTCTTCCGTCGCCTCCTACGCCGACTCATCCTCATCCGCCTCCTCCTCTCCATCATCACCATCAGCATCATCATCATCATCATCATCATCATCATCATCATCATCCTCATCCTGATCATCCTCCTCTTTCTCCGCCCCCTCCGCCTTCTTCTCTGTTCCTCCTCCTCCTCCTCCATTTCATACTCATCATCATCCGCACCAGCAACATCATCAATACCACCATCATCAGCATCATCATCATCATCTTCATCACCATCATCATCGGCATCAGCATCATCAGCATCAACATCCTCATCATCATCATCGTTATTCGTACAATCCGCATGATCATCAGCATCACAATCACCATCATCATCAGCATCAGCAGCATGGTGATGATGAGCATCATCATCAGATGCATCATCACCATCATCATCGTCACCACCATCAATCTGACCATCATCATCAATATCATCCTCATCGTCATTGTCCCCATCAGCATCATTATCATCATGATCATAGTCACCATACATACGAGCATCATCATCATCATCAGTACCATCACTACCAGCATTATCTGCACATCATGGCCACCAACAACGCCATCATCCTCATCATGACCATCCTTAGCTTCGGCATCATCATTATCATCATCACCACCACAATCATCATGAACATCACCACCATCCTCACTCCCATCATCATCATCAGCAGCACCATCATCACCAGGAGCATCATCATCAACGCCATCATCATCATCATCATCATCAGCATCATCATCAGCGTTATCATCATCACCAGCAGCATCATCACCATCATTGACACGATCAACATCATCATCATCATCATCATCATCATCATCAACAACATCATCATCATCAGCACCATCATCGTCACCCTTACCATCCCCGTCACCATCATCGCCAGCATCGCAATTACCATCATCATCACCATTACCAGCATCGGCATCATCATTACAATCATAGCATCCTCATCCTCATGATCACCATCACCATCACCATCATCGTCAGAATCGTCCTCATCATCAGCATCCTCACCATCATCATCATCATCACCATCAACATCATAATAAACATGAATCACCATCACCATCACCATGATCATCATCATCATCATCATCATCATCATCATCATCAGCATCGACATTCTCATCATCACCATGCTCTTCTTATCTTCATCCCCGCGGGGCAGACCTGTGCCAGGCCTCCCACATTCTCACGAAAGTGGCGGCATTCTCACAGTTGGCACCACACCAGAATAACGAGGTGTCGCTTGATCACCAGAAGACTGCACTCCGCTGGAGCTGCTACTTCTTCACGGCGCCGGTGACACTTCCGCAATTCACGGACAATGGGGGATCACAGTCTCGCCTGATTCCCGTCAGACCAGACCTCCTGGACCTCCCAGTAGCCTTCGAAAGTGGCGACCGTCACGCTGTTGGCAGCACGCAAGGAGAACGAAGTCTCGCTTGAACCCCGTAAGGCCGTCCTCCGCTGGACCTCCCAGGAACCCTGCGGCTTCCCAACTCGGAGCCCTCAGGAGCGGCGAGGCAAGAGGAGCAGCAGGACGAGCAGCATTGACGCAACCAGGCTCCGTGAGCGCGAGGAAGCCATGACGCAGGGCAGGACACGAGAGGAGGAGAGGGATGCGGGAGGCGAAGGAGGACGGCGGCAGCAGTGCTCTTGTTCAGAATGCGGCTCGACGCGCGAGGGCCGGGAACGGCAGTCTGTCGCGTGCGTGGGAGTGCTGCTCCCCGCGAGCGCTACCGGGGCTGCGCTGAGGGCGAAGCTGAGCGGGGCTCGTGCACGTGTTTGTTTGGGTCACGTTCGCCCGAACCAGATACGGGCCCAGGACCCTGAGTCCGACTCATCACCGTGGGAGTCGTTTCGAACAAGGGCCCGCAGTTGGATGAGGCTCGGCGGCGAGCGAGGAGGGGAAGTGAGAAGGGCGGGCCTCCTCAGAAGGCTCGGAAGTTCCCCGGCCTTCTGAGAAGTTTCTAAGCCTCTCCCGAAGTCGCAGAACACTTCTCAGAAGGCCCGAAGGCTTCTGAGGAGGCTGTCTCCTTCTCACTTCCAAACCCTCGCTCGCCGTCGACAAGACCGACTCATCACAGTTGGAGTCGTCCCGAGCAAGGGTCCGCAGTCGGATACGGCGGAACCTCCGTCCCAGGCGGCGGCCTACTGTGAGCCGAGGTTGGGAAGGCGGGGCCCCCCCGCCCCAGCAGGCCAGCCTTGGAATGCACACCCCCAAACAGACAGGAGAGGCCACGCGCGGTCAGCAAGGCTTGGCTACATGGGGGCCGCAATCGAACATGCAACGACCTGCGGGGAGCCGAAGCCGGGTTGGCGGAGCCCGCGCCCCAATAGGCGGAGCCAGGAGGTAACAATTACAAGTGGATATGATCATACCTTCTGCTGGGAACCGTTGTCGGGAAGGCGGGCCCCCCCCCCATCACAGCAGGGAAGGGCCATACGCCTCGTCGCTTGGCAGAAATGCGGTGCGAGTTGGGCCGAAGGGTCCAACTCGCGGTTGTCACGTGGTGTGCCCAGGGTCAGTCGGCGGAAACGTGCCGCGAGGGCGCGGCAATCTTGTAACGCTATTGTGCCCCATCCGCCTCGCCCTCACCCTCCACATCCTGCTCCTCCTCCTCCCCCTCCAACTCTTCATCCTCCTCCCCCTCATCATCCGCATCATTATCAGTATCAGCAGCACCATCACCACCACCATCATCATCAGCATCATCATCAGCAGCATCATCAAAATTATCAGATTCCCCCTCGTTATGTGATGTCTGTCCCATACAATAATATTGGCACGCGTCACTCGAATCGCATGCATGATGCATCGCGTAGAGGATCTCGCGGAACAACGGGCAAGCACGCTAACCATATAATTGCGGAGATGTCTGCGGTCAGCACGGGGGGCACTACGCTCCAACAACGAGGCGGTGTACCTAGCCGAAGCCGAGCTTGCTCCATTTTTAGGTCGATGGACTTCTTTCTTGTCTTCGTCGGGAGGCAACGTTAGTATTTCACTAAGCAGAACATCAGCAGGATCCTCGGCACCAGGAATAAGATCGTTCAGAGCCAAAGAAATACGAGGCCGTAGTTGAAGTTGACGTCGCAACATATGTTTCTCTAGGATGTGGCAAGGAAGGGCTCCATTCAATACAACTCCGGGGAAGGTGTGGTCGTTGTTGGAGGCCACACTGATAGCGATAGACTTATCAGCCAAACGAAAGTTAACAGTAGACCAAGGCGAAGGAGATTTGCACTTATACCGTGGGCGCCGGATACGCGTGGAAGAGGAATTGGCTCCAGTGGGAATTGAACAAATCTGGTGTTGAAACTTGTTATCTCAGCAAGCATCATCATCATCATCGTCATCATCATCATCATCTTCATCATCATCATCAGCGTCATCATCGTCATCATCATCATCAGCGTCATCATCGTCATCATCGTCATCATCATCATCATCATCATCACCATCACCATCATCCTTCTCCTCAAACTTCCCCCAGGAAACCCAGACACGCACAGACACCCTCGCGGACTCTTTAGAAATAGGCCCCTCGGGAGGTATGGGCCAATCCCCTGGGAGCGCCTGCAGCACACACACACACACACACACATACACAAGAAGACATCTTGTTCTATGACATCCTGGGGCACATTGTCCGTCGATCTCTGATGGCCCTGAGGTGCACCAGAGATCCGGTGGGTCCCCCGGACCAGCCGGGGGATCAGCAGGGTCCGAGGCGCACCCGCTGGCAGGCCGATCTCTGACTCGATGTGCCTACGGTGGGGGCGTTTTTTTTACTCTTCGAGCACCCGCGAGCAGGCGCGTGGTCATGCATTAAATTCCACAAAAGGGGAAGGAGGGCGACAGGGCAAGGCACGTCAAGCGGCCGCGCGATGCCCACGACCACCTTCACAAGTCGCCCTGTCGCCTGGCGTGCTCCAGGGCCGCGAGCGCCGCTCTCACAGCTTCTCGCTGCGGGTCCAGCCGTCGCGGCGAGGCACGCTCCGACTCGAGCGATTCGAACAGCAGGACCTGGGCCTCCAGCGCCCTCTCGAGGCGGGCGCACTCCAGATCCCGCACCTTGGGCACCGCTGCGCCGTGCACAACCTCTGCCTGCTTGCCTTCGGGCTCCGCTTCGCCAGACTCGGGCTCCTCGATCGGGTCGAAGAGCTGCACGGTCTCACATGCGGCGCCCGACAGTTTGCAGGGGTGCCGAATCAACTGCACGTCAGCCTGGCTGGCGGAGCTTGCGGATACGCCGACCCCTAGCATCTCCTCGAAGCTGGCGAAGAGCTCAGCGAGATCGGCGCTGGGTCCGTGCGCCGCCGCCGCCAGCTTGCTGAAGTGCGCCGCGACGTCCTGCCCCTCCTCCGGGTCCGCCGCGCCCATGGCCTCCGCGCCGAAGCTGTCGGCGAGGCCGCTGGCGGTGACGAACCCTTCGGAAACGCAGGTGGAGGCGCCCTCAACGCTGTGATGCGCAGGGTCCGCCTCCTCGTCGTCCTGCTCTGCCGCCTCCAGCCGCTCGGGGCCGAACGACTCAGAGGCTCCTTCGGCCAGCCGCCAGCCCGCCGCCAACCCTTGGACGAAGGCCTCCGCCTCCGCCAACGGCTCGGAGGTGTGCCACATCCCAGGCGCCAGCCCTGGGCCCGCGGGAATAGCCTCCTTGTCAGAACAGATGGGAAACGTTCCCAAGCCCCCAGGTACTAGGCCCTCTGGGGTGGCTCCGTGCAGATGCCCTTGGGCGTCGGGGAGGTATTACTGACCAGTGCCTCCCTGACCTCCCAGCCCTGGCCGCGGAGCGCGCTCTGCCGCCAGGGCATCGGCCTGCGCCAGGAGCCTCGGCTCCAACTCGGCCACGTGGAACACCCGAGCATGAAAGGGCAAGCCGCCTCCCGCCCGTGGATCCTGGGTCTCGAGAACCCCAGAAGCCCCACGGGTAGCCAGCACCTCCGCCCAGCCGCTCTCGACCGTGTCCACGTCCTCCACGTCGTCGGAAGCTCCAGTCGCCATTGCGGCGCGCTCCAGCCTCGGCCCCTGCTGAACAGCGCGGAGCTCGGCAGCCTTGGCCACCAGGATCCGCGCACCCGGCGCCGCGGCGTGCAGCGCGACGTTGCGGCGCAGCTTCTGCAACCAGGTCGGCGCCCGTCCAGCCACCAAAGCCGCCAGAGCTGGCAGCAGGCAGCGGATGCGCGCGCCGACCTCCGCGTCGCCGACGAGCGTGTCGATGGCCTCCTCGGCTTCCAACCTGCGGCGGTCGGCGTCCGCGAGCTGCCGTTGCAGCCTCGCGACCAAACGATCCGCCGCCGCACGGGCTCCAGCTGCGCCCCGCAGTGGCGCTGCTAAGCCCCCTCCCGCAGCCATTTCAAGAGGTCCCGCGCGGCCGAAGACGGCGGAAACACGACTTGAGCCAAAATGGCTACGGACGGTGGGGGCGTTGGACCAGAAACCCTCAGATAAGGAATCCAGGGTCTGGAAGCCGAACTCCAATCGTGGATCGGCCATGGACAGCGCCGCCGCCGCCATTGGATAAGTAATCCCCCAGGGTCGACAGCGTCTTGGGCACGTTCCTTAACGGACGCCCCCACCGTACTCTACCCTCCCTCGTCTCGAGTCGTGCCTCTCGATTTGCCCGGGGCCTGGCAAGGGTCCCTCTTGCAGGGCGGCGGCCTTGCAGAGCCCAGAGCGAGCACTGCGGCGCGCGCCTCGCTGAACACCATCGTCAACACGCGTCGGCCCGAGCACCGCTCGATGGGCTCCGCGCAGCCGCAGTCGACGTTGCCGCGCTCCAGCGCGCGGATCGCGCGGATGGCGTTCTTGGCCTCCCCGGGAGCCCCAGAAGCCGTCTCGCGACCGCCTGGCACAAATGTCGAACCCTGAGCCAAGAAACTGGGACCGCAAAAGGCCGGACACACGGGCGGACCGTGTGGAGGCCACGCGCCGCGTGCACATGCGAGAGCCATGCGTGCCACGCCATGGACAGGCCGAGCGCTGAAAAGACATGCGGCTGCGATGGTATCCAGCTCTCGCCCAGGCCCGCTTCGTCAAGTGGCGGCTTCCAGAGCCCTGACGCCCCCCCAAACAACATCAGGTCATCCTGGCGAAGGACCCAACGATGTGCAGGAGGACCGCGATGTGGGTACCGCTTTCGGTGGAGCTCGAAACGCGTGAGAGGCGGACTTTGCCGCTGGGCCTTCGGTGGAGCTCCCTGTGGGGCCACGTCACGCGTGAAAGGTGCGCCCAAATGGGCGGGGGGGCGCGTGCGGACTTTGCTGCTGGGACCGTCTGTCAAGCTTCCTGTAGGGGCCACAAAGTGTGAGTTGTGCGCCGAACTGGGCGGGGAACCGCATGTGGACTTTGGTGCCACTGGAGCCTTCGGTGGAGCTCCCTAAAGGGCCACGAAACGTTTGAGGGGTGTGCCGGAATGGGTGGGGGGCCGCATGTGGACTGTGCCACTGAAGCCTTCAGTGGAGCTCCCTATTGGGCCACGAAGCGTGTGACGTGGTGTGCCGACATGGGATGGGAACTGTTTTTGGATTGTGCAACTGGGGACTTCCGTGGTGCTCCATTTGGGACCAGAAGCGTGTGAGGGGTGCACCGAGACCGCATGTGGTACCACGCCCCTTCGTTGGAGCTCCCTACGGGGCCACGAAACGTGTGATGGGTGGGTGAGCCGAGGGCAGAGGCACGGATGGGAGGAGGAGGAGGAGGAGGAGGAGGAGGAGCGAGTGGGAGGAGGAGGAGGAGGAGGAGGGAAGAGGGGGAAGAGTGGGAGAGGGGGAGGAGAGGGAGGAGGGGGAGCGAGGAGGAGTAAGGAGGAACGAGGACCCAACAAGGGGAGGAGGAGGAGAAGAGGAGGAGGGGGAGGGGCGAGCGCGAGGAGGAGGAGGAGGCGGAGGAGGACGAGGAGGAGGAGGAGTGTGCAAGAGTGTGGAGGAGTGGGGAGGAGAGGCGCTGTCTCCTCAAAACGATGGTTTGGAATTCATCTCTTTGGAAGGCTTCTGTCCCGCCGCCGTCCGCCAGAGAATGCCTTCTGCCGCCTTCCGCCGCCGCATGCCGCTGGCCTTCCGCCGACTCCCGCCGATGAAGACACGCCAATTCCTCCGACCCTCGACGGCGAACTCACGCCTGGAGCGCCAGCTGCCTCTTCTTCTTGTTATTCCTCCTCCTCTTCCTCCTCCTCCTCCTCCTCCTCCTCCTCCTCCTCATGCTCCGCCTCCTCCTCCTCCTCCTCCTCCTTATCCTCTCCCTCCCCATCCTCCTCCTTCTCCTTCTCCTCCTCCTCCTCCTCCTCCTCCGCCTCCTCCTCCCCTCCCCTCCTCCCCGCCTCCTCCTCCTCCTCCTCCACCTCCTCCTCTCCTTCACCTCCTCCTCCTCTGCTCCACCTCCTCCTCTTCCCCTCCACCTCCTCCTCCTCCTCCTCCCACTCCTCCTCCTCTTCCTCCTCCTCCTCCTCCTCCTCTTCCTCCTCCTCCTCCTCTTTCTTATCCTCCTTCGTTTCCTCCTTCTTCTCATTATTATTATCATTATCAGTATTATTATTATTATCATCATTATTAGTATCATCATTATTATTATTATTAGTATTATCATTATTATTATTATTATTATTATTAATATTATTATTATTATTATTAATAGTATTATTATTATTAATAATATTATTGTTATTATTATTATTATTATTAAAATTATTATCTTCCTCCTCCTCTTCTCCTCCTCCTCCTCCTCCTCCTCATTCTGCTCCTCCTCCTCCCTCCTCCTCCTCCTCCTACCTCCTCCTCCTCCTCCTCCTCCTCCTCCTCCTCCTCCTCCTCCTCCTCCTCCTCCTCCTCCTCCTCCTCCTCCTCCTCCTCCTCCTCCTCCTCCTCCCCCCTCGGACCCTGCACGCCGACCGGGGGACGGCGTGTGCCCGTACCCTGGTGGCAAAATCAGCCTGGCAGAAGTAGCCTGGTGGCGGCTATAACCAGGACCGCTCCACGCCTGCAGACGCAGCCACTTGGGCGACGCAACCATTGGGCCACCATTCCGTGGACATCCCCATGGGGCCCACGAAACGCATGAGCGGTCTGCCGAGATGGGGCGGGGCCGCATGCGCACGCAGCCACTGGGGCCTTCCGCGGAGCTCCCCACGGGATCCACGAAATGCGTGAGCGGTCTGCCGAGATGGGGCGGGGCCGCATGCGGACGCAGCCACTGGGGCCTTCCGTGGAGCTCCCTATGGGGCCACGAAGCGTGTGAGCGGTCTGCCGAGATAGGGCGGGGCCGCATGCGCACGCAACCACTGTGGCCTTCCGTGGAGCTCTCTATGGGGCCACGAAGCGTGTGAGCGGTCTGCCGAGATAGGGCGGGGCCGCATGCGCACGCAACCACTGTGGCCTTCCGTGGAGCTCTCTATGGGGCCACGAAGCGCATGAGGGGTCTGCCGACATGGGGCGGGGCTGCATCTGGACGCGTACATTGGGGCCTTCGGTGGAGCTCAATAGTGTGATGGGTCTGCCGAGTTGAGGCGGGGTCGCATGCGGACGCAGCCACTGGGGCCATCGGTGGAGCTCCCCATGGGGCTACAACATGCGCGAGGGGTCTGCCGAGATGGGGCGGGGCCGAATGCGGATGCAGCCACTGGGGCCTTCGGTGGGGTTCCACATGGATCCACGAAGCGCGTGAGAGGTCTGCCGAAATGGGGCGGGGCCGCATGCGCACGCAACCACTCGGGCCTTCGTTGAAGCTCCCCCAGGGGCCAGGAAGCGTGTGAGTGGACTGCCGAGATAAGGCGAGGCCGCATGCGGACGCAGCCCCACTGGGGCCTTCGGTGGAGCTCCCTATGGGGCCACGAGACGTGTGAGGAGTCTGACGAAATGGGGCGGGGCCGCGTGCGGACGCAGCCACTAGGGGCTTCGGTGGAGACCGTAGGAGGCCACGAAACGTGAGGAGTTGGCCGAAATGGGGCGGGACCGCATGCAGCCGCTGGGGCTTCCGGTGGAGCACCCTATGAGGCCACGAAACATCTGAAGGGTGTGCCGAAATGCGAGAATGGAAAATGATGCTGATACAAAATGGAAGGAGGAGGAGGAGGAAAAAGAGGAGGAGGCGGAGGAAGAGTCAGACGCGCGGCGCTGCGGATTCAAATCGATGACCCAGCATACAAAAGTTTGGGGAAACTACCAATACCGCTCCTCCACGGACCTTTCACGGGGTGCGTTCTGACTAGAATTTCGTGGCGAATCCAGCCGTGGCGACGGGGGCCTGCCAGGAAGCCCAAGAAGGCAAACACAAGGGAAGGAGAACGGCACCGGTATCGTTTCCTGGTCGCCGTTTGCATCCACGCCCCTGCCGTGGTAAGGTTTCAGCCTCCCGCCCCACGAGGGTGCAGCCCAACGCCCGCGCTGAGGGGCTCGGAGGAGCAGAGGAGAGAGGCGCGTACTCGCGCCTGTGCAGTTCGTGCCGGACTGAGCGCCCTGGAGGCAGGCGTCTGGCAGCAGCGAGCCGCCACGTGCTCGACCACGGCCGGCGGCGCAACGGAAAGGGGTGGCGCGAGGTGTCTGGGCTGCTAAGAAGACGAGGGGTCTTCTTCGGAACGGGCACGCACGTGTACGGGTACGGGCACACTTGGGTGCGGGTGCACACGGGGCGCTCCCGTCGAGGGCCGGAGGCGTCGGCATATCTTCCCCGGCGCAGGGCCTGCCGAATGCGGCGCAATCAAAAGAAGGCAGCCCCCGGCGGCGGAAGCACCCAGGCGCTTTTTAGAAGCCCTCGTAGAAGCGCCGAGGCGCTTCCAAGAAGGCCCGCGTCTTCGGAGAGGGTCCCCCCGTGATCTTAGAAGCCCACGCCCCCTCGCGCCGCCCCCTTTCTGCGCGCCGTTGGACCCCTTGCTACCCATCGGTGTAGGCGGTGCTTGGCAGTCGTCTGACGGTACTGGGAAGTCTTTGGCGGGAGATCTGGACGGTTCCCTCCAGCAAGGGGGCCATGGTCGAAAACGTAAGACTCGGCATTGCACTCTGCGGCCACTGCGTGTGAAGGATGGAGAGATCAGAGAGCCAACCATGCCTAAGATCCGCACGATGAACACGCTGCAGGGTCTCCTCTTCAGGCGAAGAGGATCTCAGTGTCAACGCCTTGAGCAGATATCGCAGCGGATCAGGAGAGAAAATATGAGATGAATGGTTCGCATACACACACACACTTATCGGCGTCACGGCCCTGCGCGCGACGACAGGGCGTAGAAGGTCGAAAAACAGTGCAGCGTGCAACACACACACACACACACACACACACACACACACACACACACACACACACACACACACACACACACACACACGCACGCGCGCGCGCACGCACATGCGCACGCACACGCACACGCACACGCACACGCACACGCACACGCACACGCACACGCACGCTCGCACGCTCGCACGCTCGCACCCACGCACAGGCGCACGCACGCACGCACGTACGCACGCACGCACGCACGCACGCACGCACGCATACACACACACTCACACACACGCACACACACAAACAACACAACACACACACACACACACACACACACACACGCACACGCACACCCGCACACCCGCACACACGCACACGCACACGCACACTCACACAAACACACACTCACACACAACCACACACACACAAACGCTGGCCGCAATGACCCGCCGATTTCGCCGCACCGGCTGGCTGCTCGGACTGCCAGTCCCCACTCCCCGTCATCATCCTCCGGCCTCGGCCCGATGCCCGAGGCCCTCGGAAAAGCGGACGGCAGATAGACCTTGAAGGGCACACAGCCTCCGAACGTGGAGCGAGGGGGAGCGAGGATCAAGAAGGGAATGGGAGCGGGGAGGGACGGGAAGCGGGGAGGAACGAGCGGGGAGGAACGAGGGGGGACGAGAGGAAGCAGGAGGCGGCCCCCGCCCTGTTGCCCCCGCCAAAGGTG